ATGGACAAGGGGGCCAGGGAGTGATTGCGCTCATCTGGAGAATGGAGCAAGCTCTGGATGCTGTGATGTTTCCGAAACCCCATTCAGAACCCTTCCCATGACACAGGCAGCACCATGACAGAAGATTTCATAGCTGCTGGCTTGGGAGCACCAGGATATGCCTGGACACTGACTCCTGAGTGCCTGCCAGTCCTGATCGCAAAACCTGCCAAAATAATGTCCCATAATGAGCTGGGAGCAGAGGAATGTGCACAGTCAAGCTTTCTGCCAGGGAGTAACCCTCCCAAACCCATTGCTCTGCCTCTACAAGAGAGAGGAACCCCCAGTTTCTCACAAAAGTCCCTATAACAGCTGCATCATGACCACCACAGGGAAGGCAGAGCCAGCTCTGGAGGGAGGAGGGTGTTATACTGCCTTTTACAGCCCTCAAGATATTATGGAACGTCATCCAAACTGCAGTACTTCCTCCAGCCAAGGCCAGTGGGGAATTAGCAGTGCTATTAGGCAGTGGGGCATGCTGCTGGCTTTCTCTCTTTAACAAGAAAGTGGTATCATCTCAGCAAACATGCACCAGCTTGTTGAATCCAATAAGCCTCAACACCATACATGGGAAGACTTTGCAGCAGAACAATCGAGCTGACAGATTTTTGTGCACTGACATCACAGATGGGAAAAAGTCTCACTAATCCTCAAAAGTCTCTTCCAGTGGATGATTTCATTGAGGTCTCTGGATCAGTGCCAGCTGCTGCAGATGAGCACAGATAGACCAGAATTCAGCAAAAACGCAGGAGATTTGGGCAACACTTTAGACAGTATCTCAGCATCCTGGAGCATGTAAGAGGTGTTTTCATACAGAGCACCAGGAGCAGCAAAAGGGTATTTGGGGCTAATTGTAAGCAGTGGTAGAGTTCAATTTGACTAACCTCTAAATCACATGTTTTGTGGGTTCTTCACACACAGAAATGCTGGCTTTGATCTGCCAACCATCAATGCCTTGTTCCAGTTTGAACTTCTTTCAAAGCCTCCAGGTTAAAGCAGTAAGACTATTTTAATCAACTGATGTGTTCATTTATTGAATATCCATGTCAGCAGCTGCTACAGCACCTTATGGACAAAGTACCTTTCTCTGAGCCCATCAGCTCCCAGATACGTTGGGCAGCTTCCAGCCCTGCTAATTGTGCCTCCCTCCCAAAACCAAGTCTGTTCCACATCCGTTCTCAGGCTGGGTGTCATTTTGTCCACTTTAATACCTCTTTATCACCGTAATGTGATTGCAGCAATTTCTTGCCTAATTTATTATCTCAGACTTCAGCTACAGTGCAATATAGATGCTATGATACTACACCGTAATGGCACCTGCACTGATCTGAACCTGCCTGAAACCATCCTTGTCGCCCTTGCCGTGGCTCATGGTCTGACCATGCTGACAGCTAATCTCCCTAACTGCTTTCATCAAAGCACAAACATGGTCCAAAATTACCAGCCATCAATTCTGCTACAAGTAAATATTAGGGCACCCACATGCAGGAGAAATAACACTGATGAATGGTTTGTACATGGAGGCTAGCTTTAAGCTGCAGTAGGAGCATTGCACTCTCCAAGTGGGAAACTATGGAGGAGGATACCTGCTAAGAGCTGATGGTACAAAGCAAAACTGCCTCCAGACATTTGGATCTCTTTGTTCAATGGAGTCAGGGCCAGGAACGGTCCTGCTGGGATATAATGATGCCCAGGATGTTTGGGAGTAACATAGAATAGTAAAACTACAATACGAAACTACCTACTATTTATACTTCATGTTGCTTTGTTGCATTTAACCCCACTAATTCCAGCTCATGTGCTGGGTGCCCTTACTGACATGGTCAAAGCAGGCTGGGGATCCCAGGACGAGCTGGTCTGCAAGTTGGAAGCGGTAACTATGCCCATAGGCAGTGTCTCCAGGATCCTTCCTCTGCTGCTGAAGAAATTCCCTGGCATGGTTGCTGCTGGCACTGATGGAAGCACCAGGCAGACTTGGGGCAGTTCCTCCTTCATCCTTCAGGATGCCTGGATCTGTCCTGCTCACCTGCAGAGGGGTGTAGTGTTATCATCCAATGATAGATTTTATTACTACTTTTTACTCCTAGATGCAGTCACACTGTACACAGAAGTGTTTTTCACATGGAAATAGGAAGGTTTGGGAAATAACAGACATTTTTAACCCATTTACTGCAATACACCCTCCCCGTCCGTGACAAACGAAGTCCTCTGATTCCATTCCGCTCCCCAGCTGTCAAGGACAGAGTTCCATAACCCACTTTGTCCCATGGAGAGCAGGCAAAAATCTCTATCATCTGGGCAATCATTAACTGCCCCCGGTGAGCTGGGGAGGAGCAAGAAGCCGTTCTGCTCTGCAAACACAATAATGGCTCGAGTGGAGATTAGCAGAAGTGTGTTTCCTGCCACCTCATGCCACGGAGGTGATGGGGTATCAGGGACCAGGCAGAGCTCTGACCAGCCTACACGTCCCCTGCCCTTGGCTTTGCCACCACCAAGGTCACTACCACAGTGCAACCAGAATAACTGAAGGGACTTGCATGAAGTTTATGCTTGGGGCCACAAAGGGTGGGAGGGCAGGCTGGGCTGCCCAGTCCCCATCACCACAAGTGGTACTTCAGCCAGCATCTAACATTAACCCAGCAGGGGAAATGTGTAACCAGCCTCCAGGACCTCCCTGAAGCAGGAGGTGAAGCCCTGTCTGCCTTCAAATCCCGGCCCTGGGTGACTTCAGTGGGGCCAGCATTTTGCCTGTGGATCAGGAGCCTGGACATGACTGTCAGTGATGCTGCACGCCCCACCCTGTGCTGACAGTGGAGATTTAATAAAGGTACAGGCAGGCAGGGCCAGGCAGGGGTATCTGCTCTGTAATTCACAGCTTGCATCCAGGCTCCTCAGCACTTTGGGTGGACAACAATCCCAAGTTGGCGGCAGCTTTATCTCACTGTCAGTGCCTTCACGTAGCCTGGCTGCATTACACAACCATGGGAAAGCAGGTGTTTGTGTTGGGTACTCACTTGGCACGCCTGGGGTTTTAAATACACAGGAGATATGTCTATACAAGAAAACTCTTGGTGCCACAACAATTGGCTGGAGAAGTGACAGGCAGCAGCAAACATCACCAGCAAAGTAACCCAGCAGCTAAAAGTCAATCTAATGTACAGCCCCAGTAATGAGGAGCTGGCTGTGGGCTCCTCCAGAGCCATCTTTCCTACCCCAGAATTTATTAACTATACAGCCACCCATCAGTGACACTTCAGGTCCACATTCAGCACAATGAATGTTATTTTATCTTTACATGACATTGGATGAAAAAACACATCCCTTCCTCAAGCAGGAAAAAGTCCCAAGAAATGGGTCCTCTATAGCTACATGTATCAGAGAGCTGTGCTGGAGCTGTTCCAGAGCTGTGTCAGAGCTGCCCAGCTCATAGGACAAGGATGAATAGCTTTAACTGGGCAGAAGGAGATTGAGATGAGCCCTTAGGCAGAAGTTCTTCCCTGTGAGGGTGCTGAGGCGCTGGCACAGGGTGCCCAGAGAAGCTGTGGCTGCCCCATCCCTGGCAGTGTTCAAGGCCAGGTTGGACAGGGCTTGGAGAAACCTGCTCTAGTGGAAGGTGTCCCTGCCCATGCCAGGGGGTTGGAACTGGATGAGCTTTAAAGTCTCTTCCAAGACAAGCCAGTCTGGGGTTCTATGATACTGCCAGCTCCTGGCACTGGGACTCCCCTGGGATCACTCTTCTGGGGTTGATACCTCCAAACAAGACCCTACCTGAAAAACCCCCGCCGCATTCACAGCAACACAGGGACATGCCGGGCACAGCAGATGCAATGAGTGATGCTGGAATGAGCTCTCCATGTCACCTTCTCCTGGGACATGAAGCCACTGCATAAGAAACACAGGGCAGTGAATGGTGCAACTCTTTGTCTGCAGGAGCCACTCCAGATAAATATCATCAAGCCATCAACTGTCTCCACGCAATAACCTTCAGGGAGCTACAGGGGGAATAAAAAGGCTTTTTGTTGATCCCAAAGATTCAGAAGCACAGGGTGAAATTGCTTACTGATTCACATAGCAAAGAGAATTGCTGTGCAAGGAGCTCCTAGAAAAACAGCTATGCCATGAAAAGTCCTCCAAGGCAGGAGGACGTAAGCACACCACAAACCCACTTCCTTGCAGAGAGGAGCCCAGATGTGCAGCAAGTCAGGCACTAGGGTGTGTCAGACAGAAACATGTCCATAAAATTTAGCTGGCTTTTTTCCAATGTATTTGACTCAGTCGACAGCAGCTGTTGATGGATCACAGCCCTTTTCCACTCCCACATCTACCAGCCATAACCACACTCAGGAGCTCAAAGCATGTTTAAATTGATGCTCTTTTCCCCCCTTCAACAAGCCTTCAGTAAACTCACAACACCAGGTTTTGAGCTTTAGCTTGTTTAAAGGCAGTCCCAGGGAAGCAATATGGATGTACATCCATCTTTTTCAGTTCTAGATTGAGTCGGGGGTTTTTTTTTGAGTTTGCAATGGGTAACGTGAGCAGAATCTGCACAGCCACAAAAATGGGCTGCGAGGCAGGTTGCAGTTTGAGGAGCCAAACTGCACAGCCTCCCCACTTCAAGCCCTCTCCTCCACCACATCCTTGATCTAGGGGCAAAAGCTGTGTGAGATCTTCAAAACCCTGCTTGTATCTATCCCACGGGTGGTTGGATTGGGCTGACCGTGCTTGTGCAAGCACATGCAGGCACACACCACACACACTGGGGAATGCAAACCAGCCTGCCTCTCATCTCCTGCATCTGAGGCAATTAAATTTAACAGCTCCTGGTCAGGAAATTAAAAATAATTATAATTTTTCAAAGTCTCCAATAGGAAGTGACCAGCAAGTCCTCCTGCATTTCATCTGCTGTAACAGAGCAATACCTTCACAGTCCTTTCCCATTTCTTTCTTGTCTTTTCTTCCAGAAAGAATACTCCCTTCAGCCTAAGTGTCCAAGTGTGAGCAGGAAGCCCAGGAGCGGTGGCTCAGGTGAGTGCCATCAGCCCTGGCTGCCCCATGGAGGGCTTTGCAAGGAGAGTTGGGAGAGGCTGGGGCTTCTCTTCACACCTGGCGCTGCTGAGTCCTTGGCTGGAAAACACAGCTGGTGAGAGGGAAAATGCTGGGATGTGGAGAGGAGCAAAATGTGGAGAGGTGAAAATAAGTGAATAAGCACCCCCCGACTTGTGGCAGCCTGCACTCATTCTCCAGATCTTCACAGGGCTGGAAGCATCAGGCCAGGACATGGTTGTGATAGTGCGTGCACCCATGGGTGCTGCAGCATGTGAATGTGGCTGGGTACCATGGCAGTGCCCCCAGCTTCCCTTATCCTTTTCCTCTCAGTGGAAATGGTTTCATCCCATCCCTGCCCACCTCCTGAGGCCAAAACACTGGTCATCTGCAGGCTGGCACAGGGTGACCTGGGCAGAACTGGGCTGCAGCTCCCACCTAAGAGCCAAAAGGAGCTGCTGGGGTGGTTTAACTCCTTCTCCTCCACCAGCTTTGCAGCCTCTGGTTTCACAGGCCATGGCAATTCAGGGACAGTAAGCATGATACCTCCAGCCACAGCAGGGATGAGGACAAGATGCCCAATCCAGGCAGCAGCTGCATCTCAGCAGGGTGAAATCTGGCAGAGTGATGCAGCAGCATCACTCAGCTCTGGTGCCACCAGGATGCCCGTAACCCCACTCAGGGGCTGCTGCTCCCCCTGCATCCCCTTCCCCATGGGGTGCAGCCACTGCTCCCCCTGGATCTGCAGCAGTTGGTAGATGACAGGGTGTTGCAACACACCAGGGAATGATCACGATAACTGGAGCGGTTGCCCCGGTGCCAGGCTTGGTTGTTGCAGTGGTTGCTAAAGAGAGTGGGCGTGCAGCTTCCTCTGGGGTGATCTGATTTCTCTGGGAGCGTGGTGAAGGCGCACTTAGGAGGAACCGTCCTCCGTGGAGCACAGACACAACCTCTGCACCAGCAGCAGTGCTGGGCATGCACGGGGAGGGGGGGAACTATTACCTTGTTCATCCATCCCGGGAAAACATCGCCTGGCAACGAGGAGCAAAGGGAGCAAGTTTGGAGGGTGGCAGAGGGAGTGGGCACCAGTTGCTGCCGGCCAGACTCCAGCCCTCAGCGTGGTCCCTGTGAGTGGTGACAGCGGCGGGGAGGGAGCACCAGTGCAGCAGCCACCTCCACGTGACTCCATCCCTGCTCCCACTGGAGAGACCGGGCAGCTCCATCGGACCTGGCCATCAGCCCCACAGGTGTGAGTGCAGCTGGGCAGGAGCAGAGCCATGTCATGGGGCATGGGGCAACACTTGCCCCCCGGGCTCTCCAAGGCCACACTGCGGAAATCAGGTAAGCTCCGAGCACCCGTGAGCTGTGCCAGGGGGTCCCTGCTTCTCTGCTGGCTCCCCATTGTAGGAAGCCCCCATGGGATTAGTCTTTGCTGCATACATGGTTGAACACAGTGACTTTGAACCCTGGTTTAAATATTATTTGAGATACTGTGTTACTTTAATACTTCAGTCGCTGGCTGAGAAGCTGCCCTCCTGGTTCTGCCTTTCAAAATGGACCTGTATCCCACAGGAATTCCCTTAGCTGCAATTCAAACCTTCTTGGAGAGTCATTGGGCTGGGCAGGGGGCACTTGCTAATACAATCCCTGCAACTCAGTGTGGGAGGATTTTATCTGCATTCCACAAAATACCTTTGAGCTACCTTAAAACATTCATTAATGATTGATGCATGTCTCTATCATAGGCAGGCAAATGTGCAGGGCAAATTTTGATGAGATATTAAAAGTAAGTTTGTGATTATGAAGAAAGACTGCTAGGCATCTGTCACTGCTTAACAAAACTAAACTTGCTGCTTGCAAAAGGCATGGGACTGATGTCCCTTGGTGATTGCTAACAGAGTGGGATCCCAGCCCTGTTATCTTTCCTTATCACAGTCCAAGGTAATTAAACAAAATGATTAACCAGCACACCCAATCCTGCCTGCCTGCAGGCAGAGGGGAGCTTGCTGCTGCCTGACTGTACAAGTGCTTCCAGCGTTACCCAACCCAAAGAGGGAACCAGTAACCTCTGCAAAGCAGTGAGTTCAGCTAGCCCCAGGCCTGCCTGGATTCCTCTCCTTCAAACACACGTGTGTGAGTGCAAAGCTCAGTGGGTGACCACGGTGACACCCGGGATCCTTTGCATTTTGGGGTGATGGTGGAAGGTGGTGTATGAGCAGTCCAGGCTGAGCGCAGTGCCTGCTCTGTGTGCCTGCTCTGTGTGCCCCCTAGGCTGGCACGGTACTTGGCAAGGGTGGGCAGGACTGGGGGCACTGGCTGGACTGAGCAGACTGGTTATACTGGTGGGAGAGCACTGCTGTACTGGTGGGTAGCCCCATCCCCAGCATGTGCTCATGAGGGAGGTAGAGCAGGAATAGTGGTGACGTGTGACAGCAGTGCTGGGAGCTTCAAGGTTGTGTCTCCTTGCCTCATTCCACATCTCCATTAGGGATCTTTCCCTTTCTGACCCCTTGACCTCATGGGGGTTATCCCTGAATGCCAGGGCTGAGTGAAGGGGAGCAAGGGTGTGCATGCCTGCTGCCCCGAGGCAGCCTGTTGATAGCTGGGAACTGCTTCCCACGGCAGCCACATCAAGTTACGTTCATCCTATTGCATTATAACTACCAGAATTAGCCTTGCTTAATTATTTAAAAGTATAGATTAGAAGCAGACAAAGGCTCTTTGCCTCCTTTCCAGAGCACACGTATCATTTATTTGTGATATGGTCGCCTGGTGACAAGCAAGGGGGAACATGCCAGGTCCATCAGTAAGAGACACTCCTGAGCTGCCGGAAGAGCAGGAACAAGAGAGGAAAATCACAGTGAGGATGGGAGCTGGTACATCTCACCCAGGGAAGGTAACGATTAGCATCTGCCAGTCTTTGAGTTCACCACATTACTATTAATAATATTATTATTATCAACATATATCAACATAATATTATTATCAACAATAGTATCATCATCAACAACAGCATCAAGTTGTTAACATCATCATCACAGCATTAAGCCACAGCAGTCATTAAGCTAATGTGAAGGAATGGCAGATATTTTGTTCTGGGTTTGACTGTGTATCAGCCACACATGGATTACTTGGGGCAGTAGAGTGTGCTTTGCAGGTTTGGCTGTGGGGACTCACCAGTCACTCACCCAGGCTTCCAGGACCTGCGAGCCTCCCCTCACAGAGCATCATTTAAGGGTCATCATTTAAGGCCAGGTTGGACGGGGCTTGGAGCAACCTGCTCTAGTGGAAGGTGTCCCTGCCCATGGCAGGGGGTTGGAGCTGGATGAGATTTGAGGTCCTTTCCGACCCAAACCATTCCATGGTTCTATGACCCAACCCTCTAAAACTGGCATCTGGGTGCCTTACTCTACCCTCAACCTACCAACCATGCAGAAAGCAGCTTCCAAAATCAAGTGCCCAGGTTTGAGGTCAAACCACTTGTCCTCCCAGCAGGAGATCCTCCAACTATGCAGTTGCACACCCAGAAGCTGCTCTGGCCACATGAATCTTTGGGGCTCACAGAGACAAACATACAATTGTTTCCCTGCCCCATGATGCCAACCCCAGCTATTCTGTGTTTCTGAATTACAATTAACATTAGGAAAATCACACAAATTAGCAAAACCCATCAATTCCAGAATCCAAAATGACAAACTTTCAGCTTCCTTATTTGTAAGTCTTAACATACAGCGGGACCTTTTCTGCTATTACACTCTCATGGGCAAAGGTACAGGACTAAACCTCAGCTCCACGTCAGACAGGGAAAATGCATTGACTGAAAGCTCATGTTCTAAAGTGAAAAAGAACCCAGTCTCAACTTTTAGTTAACAGAAGTGTATCAGTGCTTAAAAAGAGCTGAGGCTAGTTTAAAGATCCCATGCCCTCTCCTGATCCCCTCCAGGAACCCTCATCCTGGGGAAAGGAGGGCTCCCCAGGGAGCAGATGCCATAGTCCAGAAAAGGGAAGGCTTCCCCATGATTGCAGTTAAATGTGTCAGAAACTCACAGCATTTCCCAGGCTCACATTCCTTTCGTAAACAGCTCAAACCGGCTCTGCTGACACGTGCTGTGTTGGTTTTACTTGTAGGATGTGTATGACCAGCTTCTTTCAGCAGCCCTTCCTTAATCTGTTGGTTCTTTAAAAGAGACTCATTCCTGAATAAACCCCAGGCATCCAGAAAACCAGAGGCTCTTCTCTGTAGCCACAGTTTTAAGTGATCATTTCTGCCCTGAAAACAGTCCCTTGAGTCAGTGGTTTTACAAACCCAGACCCAGAGCTCTGACCCTGGGTGTCCTGAAGGTGTTGCTCAGTCTCATCCGTTCTACCAAGTAACAGGACCTTAAAAGGGTTTCACAGAATTTACAAAGTGCAATATCCTCTGAGCTTGAATCCCATTTGCAGAATAAAGCCTGCTGCCTGTTTTTATGTGGATGGCACTTCACAGAGGCCCATCTCTGCCCAGGAAGGGATGCCCACAGAGTATATTTTAACAAGAGCAGTTTGGTCATCATCTGCCCTGAGATGCTCAAGTTGGAAAATCAGTCCTTAAATGACACAGATAGCAGAAATAAAAGACTGTGAACTACGTTTGCTTTATAGATTTCAGGTAAAGTGAAGTGCTGACACAAAGAGCAGTGTCAGCAAAAAAAGGGGGTGTACTGCTGTACTCCCATTCTCCCAAGCAGTCACAAGTTGAGAGGAGCCCAGACCTCCACCCAACAGCTTTGGATTAATTTTGTTTTCAATCTCTTTCGATTTTCCCTTTGTGAAGAACAGGCTGGAGCCATGCAGGCAGCTGTAAGCAGAGCTGGACCCCTGTGGTTACCTGCCCTTTCCAAGGCTGTTGTTAATCGCCTTAACATTCCTGAGGATTATTTCCATCCCAACAGGATGGTGGAACAGGCTGCCAGCTGCAGCGCAGGGAGCAGCACAAGGCACAGAGTCCGGATGCAGAGGGTCTCACAGGGCAACCCACCAAGAAGAGACAAATCACTTAATCCTAAATAAATGCTCTGTGAAGGGCATGTCCCCCAAGTCAGGGAAAACCAAAGAGCAGCAGCAGCAAAGGGAAGCATAGCTCAGCTCTGGCTGTGGTCAAGCACCTGTGTCCGGTGCCTATCCCTGGGCATGAGCCAGTCCAAGCAGCCCATTGTGTTTTATGGTCCTAGCAGGGTATATTTAATGCATTATTTGGAACATTCAGGTTTTCAAAGGAACTTAATGTTGCACCAAACCTGCCTGATACCCTGTGCCCCAAAATATTGGAGCTGAGTATAATCAGAAGTGTAAACAATTTGCCCCAGGATTGCAGACTGCAGATTTTTATCACAAGTTTCACAGGAAGTGGGGGATTTATAAGCATTTCCAGGTGGTCTGAGCAAGAATTTGGGCTTTGCTTTAGGTCAGAAATGACTAAGATGCTACAATGTCACTTTTCTCTTCCAGCCAGTCCCACACCCTGGGGAAGGAGGGTGGCTGGTCTGGGACACCTCAAAGATACTAATATTCCCTGTGGAGTCTCCTAGAAAACTAATCAAGACTGGGAGCTCATATCACAGCTAAGGCTGGGAGTAGAGAGAAAACTCCATGTATCTGCCAGTGGCTCTGGCCTCCTCATCCAGGCAGCCTTGCTTTTTCCTTATAGACAAGTCACTTTGGCCACTCTCCTGTGAGGTACCTTTCCTAGAAGCCTCAGGCTTCTAGAAATGAGGAAAGGGAAAATATTCAAAAGCAAGCAAAAGGCTGAGTGAGCTGAAGCAAACACAGCTACGTTTTATAAGTAACACTCCAAAGCAGAAGTATTTAAAAGGTCACACTGTTTTTCTGAGTACAGCAGAGGGTATTAAAATGCACATGTTTTTTGTTGTTCATATCTTGCCAAGAACAATATAAAAATATCTAACACCTTTTGCTGATTTATGATGGTGGCCAAAGAGGTGCGAAAGCAAAGCCTTGTTCATTGATCTACGGCTGAATCATGAAAGAACATACATCTGGCTGTAAATCCACTGCAGAGACCTGGCTTGATTTATACCTCCAGCACTATAAATAATGAGAAAAAGCAGCCTGATAGCAGTCTATCTGCTCTTACAGGGACACGAATTACATCAGGTCTTGAAGATGATAGATCTACAGGACAAACATTTTGCACTGGGTCCCTATCTGCCAACCTGCAGCAGAAAGGATGCCCTGTCCTTATTCCCAGCATGACCCCAAGCCGTGTTTCAGATGCACCAGGATTTTTACATTCTCATTTTTCTTTTCCTGCTCAATGAAAATGAAGGCATTCCTGGAATTGTTCCAGACTAAGGTCTTCTGAAGGTTTAAAATGCTGGTTTTGTAACAAGGTTCAAGGCTCCTTGCAGTCCCTATTAGGGACAAGGTCAAGGCTTTGACTTTGTCCCCAGGGCAGCAATATGAGCCAAACTCTTGAGGTTGGTGTCTGCACACCCCTAGACACACCTAGCACAGTGAAAAGCAAGCTCAGAGCTACCTGCTGTGTCCTGGCTCTTGCAGCATCATTCAGGCAAATTGCACTCATTGTGAGGACTTGTGCGTACTGATTTAACAGCCCTAGCCAGAAATGCTTCCAATCAGTTTCAGTTCCTCCCACTTTCTCCTTCCCAGTATTTTCTTCAATTATACTGGTTTCAGGGGAAAGTTCCCCATCTGCCTTCAGTAAATACGGTTAGATTGCTGCAGTCTGGAAATAACCATGTTGACTGATTCAACACCTCCAGCCTCACCACGGTGCTCCTCCAAAATGCTGCATAAGCACAGGGTCCCCCAAGCTGGTGGGGGGAAAAGGTGGTAGGGGGAAGCTTCTGATCATCCTGTGTGTCTGGGGGATGGAAATAGCACATGACCAACCTGAAGGGTTGGATGACAACTGAATAGCATTGTACACTACTAGGTATCAGCCCTATTGTGGATGAGGGACAGCCTGCCCCAAGCAAATCTCCTGGGATGTGGATCTTGGAAGTAGGGAAGAAGGGACTCTCATGAGCTACAAAAGGAAACCCATACATCATGGAGGAAGGGGAAAACAGCACTTTATCAGTAGCTGTGCTACACCAGTGCCCCAAGAGCTATTAGATCTCAGCAGCAGGGCCCAGGAGCTACACTGTATAGAAGGAAAGCCGCCAAAGTTACTAGAGTTACAGCCATTTACAGTATTTCGCTCACTGCATGTTGCATTATCCCCTGGCACAGCACAACAGGCAGATTTAGGATGGACAAATCCAGAATCAATACCAATACCCCCCAGCTCTTCTGATGTGCAGCAGGATTTGATACCCAGCACACAGCAAGTGCAGGCATCTCTCTCACTGGAGGCAGCTCTGATCTAAATGACAGGACAGGAACAGTAGGAAAAGGGCAGCAGGACATCACAGTGACGCTGAGGCTAGTTTGTCACTATAGCTGTCCAGAAACAGTGTTTCCATTAAAAACACCTGTCATTTTATTTAAGTTAGTCCATGGAGAAACTTTCTTGTTTGAAGAATGAAGACATTGCTTTGCCATTTGAAATGGGAGCTCATTCATTTCATTCATGCCAAAACAAACCTTTGCTTCTGTACCTTCCTTCCTTGGCTTTTGTCTGCCTCTTCTCCTATAAAAAAAGACCAAAAAGCGAAGTAGAAGAAAAAAAAAGAATACGTTTTCTTATTGTTCAGAGCCTGGCTTTCATCCAACAAAAATTAACCATGAAATTGTGCTGCCTTAACCCTTGGCTGTTCTTCAGTCCCTGCATCCCTTTGGAAGGCAATACTGAGCCTCCAGTTTCAACCTGTGGAGTCCGGCCCTGCAGGCGTTTGAGTCAGCCTGGCACTTGCCATCAAACAAACATCAAACCACACCAGCTTCCCTCTGCCACCACTGATCTATGACCCTAGAGGAAAATAATTTGATACAAGAAAGCACTGGTTCCCGCTTCCAAGCGCCCTTTAAATATGTACTGAACTATTCACCCCAATTACACTTGTGTAATGGGCTCTGATTTGTTTTCCTTTGTTCCCCAAGCAGTAGGGCACTGCCCACATTAACATTCAGTGAGAAGTTGTTTGATATTGACTCATTTCTCCAGCAGTATTATTCCCCACACAATTCTGTTTGACTGCAATCCACTTCACATTTGATAAGTACTTACTGACTATGAAAGAATAACCTAGCCTGCTTTCTCTTGCCTTCTGTTTTATTGATTTAAAAGAAAGGGCTTTATTCCTTTTATACATGAGATTGCAGTAAGAGAATGAGGCAACATTACTGAACAATTGTTTTCCTTGCTGTTCCGCCAACCCATATAGCTTCACACTAGGCCCCTAAAAATACTGTAATAAGACGCTTGGAGACATGGAGCTGTCTATACCCTTTTCCTGGGACTTTTTGTTCTCACTGGTAAACTTCCAAATTGCTCAAGTGAATAGTCAGGAATAAATTGCTCTTTCTGAGCCCCTGATTAGACCGGACACTGAATAACTGTTGGCAACCCCACTGTGCTCTGTATTTAAAGACACAGCCCACTGCATGATGTTTGTCTTATAACTTGTGCTTTGCACTCACTTTATATAGGGTTTTTTGTAAAGGGGAAATATAGGGCACTTGGAAAATACGAAGAGTGAACATGCCCCATGGTTTGCCTGAAATCCAAGTTGCCATCACTTCCAAAACAGTGGGTTCTTGTTCTTACATCCACAACATACAAATTATTACAGCATGATCACATACTGCTTGGGCAAACTATGCTTTTCTTAGCCTTGGGCTCAATCCTGATTATTAGGCCAGCAGGATATCAGCAAAACCTTTCCTTGACAAGAGGTTTCAGACACAGCAGCACTTTTTCAGGCTCATGTTTTGGAAGCCCCTCAAACCCCACAGCATCCACTTGTGCTAAGGGACTGACAGCCCCAGCCAGGAGGACCAAAGCGACAGCTCAGCACAGTCCACATCCATGGCTGTTTCAAGTGTTAGTTAGACCTATCTTGCATTAATTAATCCTTGGCACTCAACACTACAGTCACTAAAGCAAGCAGCTGGCAAGTGATTTCAGAGATCTAATTAATAAATGTCTCATCAACAACACAAAGGAAATATGTTTTAAAGCCTCTAAAAAACCCTCAGCAGCACATGGAGGCACGTGCACACAGACACTGACACAGGTGTCAAGCAGCAGAGCAGACACCATCTCTTCTCTTGTCTTGCCCAGGGGAGGAGAACTCCAGGGATTCCCCCACCATAGCAGGGCAAGACTTCTCATGCAAACACCTCTCTTTTCTTCCAGCATCAATGTACACTGAAATACAGCGGGAGCAACCAGACAGTGGGAATATCCTGACTCACCCAGACTACATAGATGGAAACCCAGACCTCATCAAACCTAAAAAGCTCCTAAATCCTATAAAAGCCTCGAAGAGCCATCAAGAGCTGCACAGAGAGCTGCTGATGAACCACAAAAGGTAAGAGATGCTGGAGCGGTCTGAGAGGTGCTGAGCCATCAGAGCTCAAGTGCCAGTGACAGGCTGTGAGTTGGAAGGGCCCAATAAACCCTTCCACTTGCAACCAAACACAGTGTAGAACTTGCTGTAGCCCTTTCTTCTTTTCTCTGATGTGACAGTTTGTTTCAAACCAAAAGCAGGACGAAAAGCCCTCTGCTCACCCCTAAGCACCAGCTAGGACTCCTTGGAGCTGCTTGCTATTTCTACCCACCTGAATCCCTCAAGAACCAGAAGATGCAAGGCATCCCTACAGTCACTTTCTTGGTGTCCCACAAGTTTTCTCCCTGGTCCTGGTTTTTGTATCTCCATTACTGATTTGCCAAGTCCCCAGCAATGTACAGCATTCCTGTGTGCTTTAAGGTCACCTCAGAGGCAGTCTGAGGTGCAGGTTGGATGGAGACATTGAAAGGGAACACACCAGGGTGAGATAATCTGTACAAAGAGGAAGCTAATCACTGTCTCTAAAAATCCAACAGGTAAAGATAGACTAGAATCCACTTCCCTGACCTCTTACCCCATCACCCAATTTAAGTCTTTAGGGGTACAAATACAACACCAGAAAAATTACATCAGTGTCTGAGAACCTATAATCACATCATTATTTTGCAGCAAATGTTGTAACATGAGTGCAATAAAAGTATATTCAGTTCAGAGGCTTTTAAGCACAGCAAGAAATCTGCTGGCTTTATTTTGGCGTTTTCTGAACACCCTGAAACACTGTGACATGATAGCACTTTGCCCATCTAAAAAGAAGCACAGCCTCTTCAAAAGTTTACAGTCATCATGAGAACCAGACACACATTTAAACTCAGCAAACAATCAAGCCTGGCAGCAGGGTGCATTAACTAATACCGGCACTGCCTGGGCTTGGGTTTGATTTTCCCAAAATCAGAAGAATTACAGGGCCCATAGGCTGTTCTCCAACATCAAGGCAGAGGTAACTAAATCAGCCAGATATTTTTAAAACACTCTGGCTTGAGAGTGACCATCTCCTGCCTGGTGATGCTGCTCAGGGTAAAGGCTTCCCCATCAGCACTGACTTTGATCTCACAGAGCAGTTATTTCAGTCTGAGTGTGATGGAATCAAAAAATCCCTGCAATGGAGAGAGCAGAGAGGAACGGTGACAGACGAGGTACAGACCCCATGGGCATCAGACTCAGCTGAACTTGAAACTGACAAAAAAAAGCACATCATCACTGCGTATTCTAGTTCTGTAGCTGCCACCATGTTACATCCATCTGTGCCATCACCTCCACTGCAGCCATCCTGCACTTCCTGACCCCTCTGCTTATAGTCCCGTACATCTCAGACATCAGTTTAAACCCACTTTGGCTCTGGCCTCCAAAATATTCTTCAGCAAATATGTGAAACAAACCCTACTGTGAACAATAACCCATCATCACTGGTTTCTTGTCACTCTCAAATCCACCAGTTTTGCTTCCTGCTACTTGTTACTATAGAGGAAGAGAGGGCAGAAGGGGAGAGAGAAGGATCTATGACTTGCTTCTGTTTCTGCTTTGCCATTGTTTTTTCCCCTTAAGCAAAAGGGAGAAGCAAGTCAAAGCAGCATCTTGTGCAACAGAACTCTTATCTCTGGGTACTAAGAACACAGGCTGACTAAATCAGAGAGTAGTAACAAATCCACAGGCAACACTGCAAGCTGTCTCCAGCAAGCCAAGGCAGGTTTGCCTTCTCTTAAGCCTTGGGAAAAGCATTTCTGCAGCATCCAAGTTCCTCCTGCCTTGAAAAACCATGATGAAACCTCTTGGGCCAATGCTGTGGCCACTTTCACTGATGTTGCCATGAACTTTATCCTGTCATAAAGCAAAAACCCCAAATTAAAGTAAGAAGCATCACTAAACATGCCACTGGAAGGATGAAAGCAAGCCCTTAAACACAGAAATGGGTAAGTCCCCTCCTCGCCTCAAAACAGACCTTCACCACAGGAACACCAAACACCTCACATTTTACAACAGGACTTGTAAATACTCTCAGCCCATTGATTTTAATGAGTGTTAAACCCAGCCCATGAAAGTGGTCAGGTCCTGCTCCTTGCATGTAACAGCTTTGGGGTCTCCACCACCTTCTTCTCAAAAATACAACTTCAGTCAATTACTTCCAGTTCTGTATTTTCTTGCACCATTACGTACATTCCAGCTGCTGTTGCAGAAGATAGATGTGTCAATGCAATCTTCACCACATTGTAATAATCTGGTTTTCAGTGAAATTGCAGTTGCAGTAAAGTATTCCCTGAATTCAGCAAATGTTCACCTTCCCAGCAGTTTCAGGTTTTGCTTTTCTGTGGCTGGGGCTCAGCAGGGCAGAAAGTCACCACTTTTAGTGAACTTCTTCTATCTCTTTACCATGCATTTACACCTTGCCTGCACGTCCTTGCCATGTCTTCTTCCCTGTGACCCAGTCTTCCACAGACCAGGGCTTGGAGCAGCCCGTGCCCATCTGAGATGCTTCGGAGCAGCCCCGCTTCCTCTGGGATGCTTGGGCAGCTGAAGGGGAGCCAGGCGCAAAAGCTCTGGCTTCTAAGAGGAAAGGAGGTTTCATTTTGGCCTCTTGACCCAAACTCTCCATGTCACCAGGGGGATGGCGAGCCCTCAGCTCTGACACAAAGGAGGGACGCAAAAAGGAGGAATGCAGCTGCCGCGGCAGTTACTGCAGATCAATGACTACCCCTGCTGGTGGAAAAAAAATCGTCATTATTTAACATGCCCTCAGCGCAGCCCGATCTGTCACTGACACCGTTAAACTGGCAATAGCAAGGGCCAGGGAAGGTCCCATTTCCACACCCTACCCTGCAAGCTCAATGTAATGGCATTAGCAAGACTTCCATCACCACAAGCCGCATACGAGGACAGCAAACTCTCTGCCCACCCAAAGCAATCAACCCCAGGAACCATCCCAGCAGTAGGGAAACACTCTCAAAACGCTGTGGGTGGATTTGTGGACCAGGTCCCTGATGTTTCTGTTTAGGGCTGAGAAAAGCATTGGGGTTTCTGGGCTGTCAGTGGCTACACCCATAGGATGTTAGTTCTTTTGCCCTGATTGATCTGCTTTTTATCCACAGAGGTTTGAGCATGGAGAGTAAGCCAGAGCTGCAGCGGGTGCTCGAGCACCGACGGCGAAACCAGCTGATCAGAAAGAAGAAGGAAGAGGAAGAGGCAAAGAAATTGCAGTGTCCTTTTGAAAAAGAGCTATTGAAGAGGCACCAGAGGCTGGACCAGGTAGAACTGGGTTTTCAAGCCATCCTTGGGTTAAACTAATGACCCTGCATGAGGCACAGAACACAGAGGAGATGAGTGGGCTGACGTTCAAACCAAGGTATAGCTTTGCTACCCCTCCGTAAAAGGGGAAACAGTCCATCCTGCAGCACCTTCATCCTCACAGTGGGATTCACCTTGCTTGTACCACCTCACCCAGGACCCCCACCACACACCACTTGCCCTGGGTCTCCTCCAGGTCCCACGTGGTGTCTTTGGGGTGTGCTTTGCTGCACCCATCACAGGGGGTGCTCAGGATCCTGGGGTGAGTGGTGAAAGGCTGTGGAAGCACTGGAAGGTGCAATGCTGCAGCAATCACATCCCAGCTGCTTTTGGAAGCAGTTCCTGGTGTGCACCCTGGCCAAAAATATGCCTGGGAAAAGCAATATTGAGCATAGGTGCTCATCAGCAGCAGAGCCATTCCCCTGCTCCTCTTACCCAAACCAGTGCAAGCAGCAAGCAGGGTTGTTGCCGCTGAAAATAAAGTCATTCCCTGTCCTACCTTCCGGTATTTGCACTGCAAATGGATGAAACTAGTTTATTTAATGACACAACAGCTCCCTCGCAATAACATCAGGCAAGAGAAGATGACTGAAAAACCAAAGCCCACTACTCTTAGAGAAGAACCAGGAAAATGAAAAAGGTGGTTTAGGGACAGATCCATAAAGACTTTGCATATAAAGGTGAAGCACTGTAAGGACTTAGACAATAACCTAATGCTGAGAGGTCTTCCCAGACTCACAGGGCCTCCTTTGCTGGGAAGGATTCAAACCTCCTTCTCCCTCCTCCACACCAGGTCTGAAGTGAAGCACTCCCCTGCTTTTCTGCTGGAGACATTCTCTCTGGAGGAAAACAAAACAAATTAATGTTTCAGTGGGCCAGAGAAAGAGATTCAGGATGAACATGGCTCTGGTATAATGGTTTGGGAAAAGAGAGCACCCATGTATTCTATACTTCAACTTTGAGCCATAATAACTGGACACCCCTCAATAATGAAGACTACTGTGTCAATGCAGCTAATGCACTTTTGTCCTTTAATATGCACAGATAACAGTGACTTTTCCTTCTTGCAGTTGGAGAAAGAGCAGGAGAAGCAGGAAGACCATGCACCAGAATTCATTAAAGTGAAAGAAAACCTGAGAAGAACATCTACGGTGACTGGGGATGAGAAAGCAGTGTAGCTTCTGACAAAACTCAACAGGGATCCTGCCAAGGCGGGTGCTAACACACACACTCTGACATCTCTGTACATGGTGGACATTCACAGCCGCATCGCTGGGGCTACTTACGGCTATTAACACTTGCTCCAGTAGAAGGCACAAAAAAGGTTTTCCCAGCCAGGAGGTATCACTGTGGAAAAGGTGCAGTATTCACTGAAGTACTCACACAAGGAGATTCAGAGAGAAACAATGTTGTTTCCCCCTCAGATTGTGGGTGCATGCTAATATGCAGCTAACTCTTGGTTAACCCTAGAGACTGTTTAAGCCAGGGAAGCCTGCGGAGGGATGGTTTGGGGGATCTCTGCTACTTCCTGGAGGCAGGATCACCAGGCATGAGGTGACAGGAGGGTGACTGCAGGTTTGGAACCTCCTAGAAACCTGATGTGATAACTAAAAGGGACAATCTGTGCATTACTGAGAACAGCCCCTGTGACCACAGTGGATCACTGTCAAGCCTGGCTAAGGCTGTGTCCCAGCAGCACACCCATTAGAAGAGTCAACCTCTGTGTGCCCACACCAATGCAGCACAGGAGGTGCAACTGTTCTTCACCTTTAAACTGCATCTCAAACCTATTAGAAAAGAGCTATTTAGGCAGTTCCACACTCAGGCAGGAAATACATCGGGCTATACCATCAGCATCCCAAGTGTGAGGCAAATGCTCTGAGCAGAAAGCAAAGGTTGGTTGTTTTCAGCATACGTGTACATGGAAGTGTGCAGTGACCTGGCAGCAGATCCCTGTGGATGTAGCAGACAGACAAACTGCTTCTTACCCCTGAACTACTGAGCTCCAGCCCCTCACCCAGCGGCTGGACATGAGCTACCACAGGAACCCACAAAAACACATCCTGTGATGGAGAGGTGCTACTGATTGCATTAGGTACTGATGCAAGAATGTCAGTGCTTCTTATCCCCTTTTCCAGAGGTCAGAGTTACTTCATTTCAGTTGCTACCTTGCAAAGCTAAAAATCTCTCTACTGGTGTGGCAAAACTGAGTTAGGCTGCTCAAAACCAGGTTGGATGGAGCTTGGCACAATCTGCTCTAGTGGAAGGTGTTGGAACTGGATGAGCTTTAAGGTCCCTTCCCATCCAAACCAGTCTGCGGTTCTATGAGATAGAGGGTGCATTTGCACCATGTATGGAAAGAGCCTGTCACAGTCATGCCCTGAGGTGTCCACATCTAGAGCTAAAATTGCACCTTCAGGATTTCTCATCTTCTTACTTCTCACATCAGCACTGACTCAAAGCCTAAACAGCATAACTTACCAACTGCCTTTAAACTGGCTCTTGGATGGCAAGCCTCAATGGACTTAGCTGGGAAGGTAATATCTGGTTAAACAACATCTACACATCTTCAGTGTATCCACAAGTAAATTAAGGGAAACTGGGCATTTATCATATACTTATTAAAACGTTATTAATCCGTTCCCTAATCGCCCTGGTCCAGTGGGGCGTTTCATTTCAAAGGGATGTTGCTCAACCTGGCAGCTTGAGTAAAATACCTTAGCCACATCACGTGCTGAGAGGAGTGATAGAGGTATGGGGCTTCTGCAACTATAAGAGCCCTTAGCTCATTTTCAGTCCTTGAGAGCCCCATCTCACAGCACTGTCTCTAAGGTAGTTTTAAAGCTCATCATCCAGTCCACATGGTCACTATGGGGTCAAACAAGATCTAAAAGGATCTATGATGTCCTTTCTAACTCTGAAGCTTTTCTTACAGGTCATGATTAAAACCATGTGGAAGAAGCAGCATCAACCACTTTTTCAGGGGGGGGAAAAAAGGCCAAATTTCTCCAAGAAAAAAAGTGTGTTACTAAGGATGCTTGTACACAGCTGTAAAGAATGCTGCATGATGCTCCACAGCTAACATCGGTTTAAATCACAAGCCAGAATTACCTTGCTGGGGTTTTGTGAGGGGTTACAGCAGAGATAAAGTAACCTTGATCAAAGAGCTCAAAAAAATTCAGCAAATTAATGTGTAATTTTGCCACATGTGGAAATGCACTGCAGGAGAGGCAATCTATCACTCCATATGCACCAGTGAAATCAGTGTTATCAGCTCACCCGGGCTGGGACAGGGCCGTTTATGCAAGTCATTGGGTGGGAGCCATCCAGTAATGGTAGGCTGAATGCTCAGATCAGCACTGACACAGTTGAAAACATTTTGCTGTGATCTTCCAGAGCATAAAAACATTATCTGGAAATAATAATAATAATCAAGGTGCCTCCCTACGATGTGGTGTGCACCAAGCACGGAGTGGGGCTGCACTCCAGTGCAGTCATTGCTAAGGGGTGTCTGGGCCATTTTCAGTGCATGTCCAGAAGGGAAACAGAGGACTAGGTCACACTGTCCTAACACAGACTGAGCTAATAGAGCCACAAGAATTCCTTACAGCAGTGGAGAGACAGCAGAAAGCCCTGACCCTGAGCTCACCAGGACCCTGCAGGCTGTGAGCTGGGACCCAGCCACACATCCACACACTTGACCAACCCACCAAACCAGCCACTGGCAGCTCCCATGGGGCCAGGGCAGGCTGTGGCAGCCCCATGGCACACAGCAAGACATACCGCGCTTCATCACTGGCTTCAGCAGTCTGTAACAGCACGTGGGAAATGACACATTTACAGCTTTTCCACCCCTGTGAACTGGGAACCACCTGGGCTCAGACAAGAGCTTGTACAACCTTCAGCCATGCTCTTGTGCTTCATGGCAGCATGGAGGTGGTATCATCAGTGTAGGCATCACCAGGAAGATTTTGGGGTGTCTGTGTTTGTTTTTCTTTTAAATGAATTCTTCCCTATGTCCCTGAAACACATTCCTGAATAAATGTGGTGTATACAGAAGATACAGATTATCAGAGTATTGATGGAAGACAATTTTTTGCACTGTGTATGTTGCCTATGTGGTACATAGTCTATTTTCTGTGTTGGTGTTTGTACAGTTATTTAAAATTATATGTCATACAACTCAACTGACACTGTTTAATGTGGGCACTTGTGAAGAAATAAACTAAATGATGACTGTATATTTTGCTCTCTTCCACAAGGAACTGAAGAAGCTCTGAGGATGCAAGCAGACAACAGCCAAATAAACCGAACATAAAGATCAGTGAAGTCCAACAGCAACTCCTTTGTTAGTGCTGTGTTAACCTACCCATCAATACACTCTTTTCATTATCTGCCCCAATGCTGCACCCATTGCTCATCTCCAGACTTTATCTCAATTTGCTGACAGTTTAAGGGCATGAACATTGTGGAATCAGGCTTTGTGCACTGAAACTTCCCATATGTTTGATTTCTGTCTGGCCACAGATGCCCAACTGCCTGGCAGGGTAAGACCTACAAAGCCAAGGAAACACATTGCCCCTGGGTTTAATTCAAAAATCTGGATTTGAGCTGAAAGGGAACCCTGACACTTCATTGGGTTTTAGTATTTTAAAAGCATTTTAGCAGCACTAAACACATTTCTCTGACACCAGGTATCTGCTGGGATCCACACTGGGAGGTACATGGTATTCCCAATGCTCCACACCCATGAGCAGTCAGCTCATCATCAGGGATAAGGGCTCATTGACTAAACATCTTCCCACATTGTTGCTGCTTATAACAATAGCTCACTGGTTGTCCTACCACAGCAGGTTACATACTTCATTCCCTGGCACAAACCACACAAAGGGAAAGGTCTTCGCTGCAGAGCGTGGCCTTTGGCGAGACGTGAGACCAGGGACCCAGGCAGGACTTTACGTAAAGTGCTTTATCAGCCTTCCACAGCCCCGGCTGGGGAGATTTCAATGGGCTGTGCCCCAGGACTACTTACCACTAACCCCGCACCTCCTTTCATGCACAGATGTCAAAGGCAGTTGTTCGTATTGTGACAGTTCTTTTGCAGAAGAAAGTAAGAAATACTCTTTTCTACTCTTTAAAGTACACTGCCTTTTAGCTATGCAAAACTTCTCCATTGCCTGAATTTCTTCTTACTGCCAGAGTTTTCAATACCAGCTTTGCAATTTATCCAGGTCATGCTGAAGTCTCTTTTCCTATGCATTTACTCCTGAAGTGCTCATAGATAGTTTGCTGCAGTGGAATTTCCTATCAGGGAACCCTTATGTTTTGCTTTCTAATTCATTACTGCCTCAGCAATGGCAAACAGCACTCAAGAAGCAAAAGGCCCAGCACTTCTGACCCTGGCAGAAGGAAACAGCAGAACAAATAGAGAAAACCCTCAGAAAACTTCAGAAAGAAGTTACTGCTCACAAGTGCTGACAACCCTGAGACACCATAGGATGTGATGCTGTGCAGCATACCAAGCAGTATGTCCACAGGATGTCCTATTGGCAGGGTGATGGAGCCACACAGCATCTTTACCAGATTCATCCCTAACACACCAAGCCCATGAGCACACTCATTGCATTACAGTCAGGTGCTCTGATTTATTGTTGTTCTTCATGGCTGCTGGGCTTGGTTCACTCAGGCTGAAGCTTAAAATGATAGATATGCAAAACTCCATCTGACTTCCCATCCTTTGCTCAACTTCCCATGTTAAAGCACCCCTGCGGTTCAGTGAATCCCACCTGTTTCATCTCCTTCCCTGACAAAGCAATTTCCAGTGGGAGACAAGCAGGTCTGAAGCAGCAGCACAGACTCAGCAATGAAGTGTGGGCAGGAGGGACTCCTCTCCTGCTGTAGCCAGGTGGGATGAGTTGCCAGCTCCTGCCCCCCACTAGACACCAAGATATAATGCAGCAGATTCAGGATGGACAGAGATGAAAGCAGCACGCACCCCATGGTAACCTTCGTCTGCCCCCCAGCATGTCCTAGCCTGTGAGACACATTTCCCAACCTCCTGATTTGCATCCCCAAAAGCAGGAAGGCCTTAGGAAAGTGCCATAACTAAGCTGGGAAAACCCTGAGCAAGTCAAATCCAGAGACAAGAAGCGGTGAGCACCCGAGGGATGCTCTCCTCCATCCAGAGCAGACTACAAAATAGAAGTACAAATTAAAAATACCAGGAGAAAAGGAGCCAGAAGCGCAGCTTCCAATGCACTGATAGCCGGAAGCGAGGTCAGGAGAACGGCATGTTATTAAGTAGAACTAATCCAGCCCTTTCAGCACCGGTTGCTGTGGGATTTCCCTACGGGAAAACCCTCGGAGGCCGCTGCCGGCACGGGTCAGCTCCCGCACGCCGCACACACACACGCAGGAACGCCCATGGGGCGGGTCCAGCGCCGTCGGCCCCAGGGCAAGGTCCCTGCCGGGGGGGACATTGGCAGGCAGAGCCCGGACAGGTAAGCAGCAGCCGGGTGGCTCCCTGAAGGGTGCATGGAGCAAGGTACGTGGGGTTTGTGTCTGAGCACAGCGGACACACACAGCGGGTTTTCCTTCCGCAGCCTCACGGAAGAGGGAGCTGGCAGCTGAACCCTTCCGGTGCTCCAGCACTGAGCCCGGCGCTTCCTGGAACGGCTCAAGGGTAGGTCTGGGTTACTCCAACCTTGTGAAATCAGCTTTGAGGCTTTTCCCCCTCCCGGGATAATAAATTAATGTTCTGAACAACAAAAAAAAAAAAAACCCAGGAAATTAAGAACATATTTGCAAGAGTTTCCAGAGTTTAAATTCCTTACAGTACTAAAAGTAGCTCGGGAAGGCAGGCAGCCTCTTCCGGGGGGAAATCTATTTTGTTTTCTGCACACCACTACTTTATTAACATCCTGTAACAAATCCTGCTAACACGGGAACTAAAAGGTTAGGAGTTAACGTAAAGCTGAGCCCCATGGGAAGCAGGATCGAGGCAGCACGGGTAGAGCTGCCAGGACTGCAAGCACAGGTCCAGGAGCCTCTTCGACATCCATAGGCCAAGAACTCCCTTAAACATTAGCACATGGCTGTGGGATGTTCCAGCAGTGACTTCTCATAAAATATTGGGGACGGACTGGTGAAAGAAAAAGGTTTTATGTTTTACAATGATATCACAAACCCTGCACTTCAAGCGCTTAGAAATGCCCTAGATTTTTATTGTCCATACCACTGCAATGAGGACAAGACATTGCCTCAGTGTTCACAGAACTCCTGTGCAGGTGCCAACCACCTTAGCCAACCTACTAAAACCACTCCTCCCTGTACCCAACACTTCCATCAATCACCCACTGAAGGCATGCTAGCACTTAAAGAGCTCCCATCCCTTTGCAGAGCAGCCTCCGGGATGGCTTTGTTGGAGACCCGCAAGTACTCACAGGGCTCAGCTGTTGGTGGTGTGAATCCCGACCTTGCCAGTGAGAGGCAAACACCCTCCTTCAGCGTGGAAAAGCTCACAGCCCTGCTGGATGGAGGGGAGGAGAACACTCGGATACGGAGGGCAGTGGGTGAGTGACCATCATGAGGCTGCGCTTGACCAGGGCATGGCTACATCCCCTCTGTTTCTGCTCCTCCTTTGCAGCCCGGTGGGGTTTGTGCTCCTGGGTATTTGCTTATTGCCCGCCTCTTAAAGAAGTGGGAGTGTGGAGATGGAGTTCCCTGTTAGTGTTAAATCATGACTCCTCCACAGCCACTCCTGCTGTCCCTTCCCTGCTCCCATCCCCAGTATCTTCGCTAAGACTGGTTGAACTGGAATACAAGGACTGAGGATCACACAGGCAAGCATCTCTGTGCAATAGGGATGCATGCAGGGGCTAGTGCTGATGTGCAGTGATGCACACCGTGCATGAACTGAGCCAACAGCCTTCCTCAGCACATTAGCCTCATTCAGGTGTGGAGCTCCTTGTATGGGTTGGCTCAGGCAGGCTAAGCTGCTTTCACTCGTGATAGCTAGATAGAGAAAAAAAATGAATCAAACCCCTCTTTTTTTCTATTTCTTCATCCATATTATACTTTTAACAAATGAAAATGGCACAGACCACTGGGACTGCACAATTCACAGTGCAACTGGAGTTCAGTATAACCTTAAACGTGCATGGACTCAAGGTTTCAAGGCACAAAGTAAATAGTGGGCGTGTTTGGGCTGACACAGAATGAGGCCAAGAGCTGCTTCACAGTGTTGCGAAGGGCTGCTAGAGCCCTGAGCCAAAGCACTGGTGTAAGCAGGACACTCGGCAGCCGGAGCTGTTAGCTTCTCTCTGGGCAAAACCTAGCTAAACGCAGCTCTTGCTGCCACCAGAACAGCTCTTCAAGAGGGATCCACACCTGTTTCCTGCCTGAGGCACAAAGTCACCTCTGACACCCTGACCAGGGACAGTGCTTTCACTTGCATGGTCATTATTTCCACTCAGCAGACTCCTCTTGCAGGCCTGCTGGGTTCTCCTCCTCAACTCCTTCTCCAAATCTCTGCTTTTCAGAGTTAGGTGTGACAGCAGTCAGAGCCAGCATAGCAAAATAAAATCTGCCTATAGTCACCCTAAATAATACAGCATCGGTACCCGCCACCCCAGTCCTGCCCACACTGCCTGCACCTCCCCAGCCCCAGGAGAGCTAACTCTTCTGTGTTGCTTTGCAGTCGAAGCTATTGAAAGTGACCCTGTATTTAGCAGAGAAAATCAGTATTTCCAGAGCCAGAATGAGAAGTATGAAGCTGCAGTCAGAAAGGCTGTTCACCTCCAGAAAAAGATGCACGAGATGGGATGGACTGAGAACGGACCCGAATTTAAGTATATTTACAGGTAATTTTATACTTTTTTTTTAATGTAAAAATAGTGTTTTGTTAAAAGGTTTGTAGCCAACAAGAACAGGCTTCCGCAAAGGCTGGGAGAGGCCAGCAGTTGACAGATAAGGTTCTGATACAAATATGCTGCAGGTTTTTACCTTAGCAGCACGCTCAAGAGAAGGGAAAATGATGATACACAGCAGGGAATTTTTCAAAGAGCAGCACATAGGTACAATGCAGTGTGATAGATCACAGCAGTTCACATCCCAACATATTACTTCCACCTCAGCAAGCTCCTTACTTGTACTACAGCTCTGATACTACAGCTCTGATACCACCCCTCAAATGTTTTTACATGTATAACCAGAATTGGAAGTGCTGCTGTTCCCATTACATTGCTGACTTCCGGAAGAATTAAAGACAACATTGTCTCTATCTGGAAAAACTATATTGTATTTAAAAATAAAAAGTGAAGAAAACCCCACAAACTTTAGTTTGTAGGTCACCAGAATACAACAGTTCTTGCAATCCTTTCCTTCAGACATTTTTATTAACACTTTGCATGGGGCTGAGCTCCACATCTTAGTTGCTCATCTCTCCTTCTTTCTCCCGTTGCTAAGTATTACTGGCTTGCTGTTACCAGTGGAAACTGGTGGGGTTACACACCCAGCAAGAAAATGCAAGTGCACAGGCCTTGCTATAAAGTTTTTCCCCATTATATGAAAGACTATGATTTTTTTTTTTTATGCTAAGCTCTTTGCTGGCTACTGAGGCTGATAAACGGGGAATTCTTCTGTCGAGAGCTCTTGGACCTGATCATTACATTCCTTATAACAAGCAGCTCTCCACTCCTTCCTCAGAAGAAACAAAACAATCCCAGCAGATTTGAAAGACCTGACAAAACTCAACCACATTTCCCATAGGTTTGCTTTTATCAGGCCCCCTGATGCCAAGGGCTGTGGCAGGACCAGCCCTGAGCTACCACATTTTGCTGGATTAAGAGCACTGTGGCCTGATGAAACACCAGGTGAGCACCAAGCTCTTACTAGCAAAGTCCTTGTGCCTCCTGGTGCCAAACAGTGAATCACTTGCACACATATAAAAGAGCTCTTTAAAATTGCAGTTAAAGCAGCATCATTGCTGGATGGGCTGCCAAGGGGTCATTAAGTCTTTTTCTGTTAATCAGAGCAATTTCCCTTCAACTACTTTGTTCATGTTTTCTCCCCACTTTTTCAGCATGACTGATTCTCTCTCAGGGCAGGATGAAAGAAAGGTCATAGTCATTTGTTAACAATGAAAGGTATCTATCTAGAATGAGATGCTCACTAGAGCACTGCAGTAAAGCAATGTGCTAACAATCATACAAGCTACTGAGAACAGTAAAGCCACTTACTTTTACATGTGAGAGCACATGTACTTATATCTGTGAGGTGATTCAATCTATTCTGAGGAATCCCAGGAAAAGGGACTATATTCCTCATATTTTCTTAGGATTTCTTGCACACAAAAAGGAAAGCTTAAAATGAATGAGTTTCTGATTTGCAGCATAGAAATTAGAGTAACCAAGTTCCCATATGCAGATTCTAGAATAGTGCATCTTAGGATGCATGCAGCCCTATTAGCTGGCAATGGTGAAGGAGCCAAACAGACAATAAGCCAGGTGCTACAAGTATGTATTTGAATTTTCCACAAGGGAAAATACCCATCTCAAGTCAGGCCAAATCTCCATGAACCCCAGTACTGTCCACTGATAGTGAGAACAAACACCCAGGGAATGGTACAGCAACAAGCCCAATATAGAATCATAGAATAGTTAGGGTTGGAAAGGACCTTAAGATCATCTAGTTCCAACCCCCTGCTATGGCCAGGGACATACTGAGGTACTTCCCCACAATGGGAATGCTCAAGAAATCTAAGACTCAGATGCCCATGTATGTAATTCACTTCCATATGTCCCACAGTGAATTGCCAAGGTTTGGGGGTTTTAGGGTAGGGTGGTGGGGTATTTAGCTCAGGCTTAAAATGTGACTTAAATAACCAAGGAAAGAAAAAATCCTGTGGTGTAAAATAAAGATACAAAAGGCTCAGAAGCCACAATATCAGAGCCACAAGTGCTTCAGAGCTGGGCTATTTTTCAGGAGCTTAGCATTTGCTAAGAACAAGTTATATATATGTATATATATGTAATTAGCTAGTGACACTTAAGCAAACTGTGTTAAGAAAGAAGGAACAAAAGCAGCTTGGAAGAGTGATTTTCATAGAATAATAAAATAGTTTGTTTTGGAAAGGACCTTAAAGCTTATTCATGGGCAGAGACACCTTCCACTAGATCAGGCCACTCAAAGCCCTGTACGATCTGGCTTTGATGCAATATTGCCTCCTGCAATACTGTATTGATGCTGTATGTTGGTTAAGGTAGGACAATGAAGAAATCAAAAGGCTGCAGGTAGCACTGTCTGGTGACTATCACAGTGTCACAGCCTCATTCATCACATCCCTGGAACTTCATCCATGTACGAAAACACCCCGTGCACCTTCTCTGCAGGGCACTGTCAGGAGAAGTCGCGTTTCTTCTTCACACCATCTTCATGAGAAGTATTTCAGTGCTGGGCTCTGACGAACAGATTGCCAAATGGATTCCTCTCGCCATGCAGTATCAGCTCATCGGAAGCTATGCCCAGACTGAACTGGGGCACGGTAAGGCTGCAAAGAAAACAGAATTTCCATAGGACAGAAGGCCCAGATTCTCAGAAGAATGTGAGTTCAAGGTGTCTGTGCTTCACTGGAGGGGTGGGGAATGCCACCTGCATGCTAGAGGTAGATGTTCCTCAGTGGCCCTCTGCAAGATGGAGGTTGTGCTGGTTTTGGTTTTGCCAGTGTGGCAGAAATAACAAGAGCAGGGGTGAAAGCTCATGGTTAGATAGCTCATGATTAGATGGCATAGTTAGATTGCAGTAACCATTGGTGGAGGGTATCAGCCAGGCAGCTTGCCCAAGATGATGGTTGTCACCATGAACCAGGTATCTTGCCTGAGCACCATATGATTCAAGAGAATTTTACAGGAGATGGTGTGGGGTCACTGGGAACATCATCCCATGGTTCTCACCAGGAGGGTAAACCACAAGACCACACCAGCCTCCAGGAATCCTCCACTCTTTCCATCCTTGCCATACATTAGGAGATACCGAGAGATATAAATACATAAACACACTGTTTTGGTTTTTTTTAAAGGAACTTACCTTCAGGGTTTGGAAACAACGGCAGTCTTTGATATTGCTACACAGGAGTTCATACTGAACACACCGCAGATCTCTGCCATGAAGTGGTGGCCTGGAGACAGTAAGTACCACACAAAATACTTAGGTTTTCCTCATTGGCCTCCTTCAGTTGCTCACTCTGCCCCTCTGTGTTTGAGGGCCCAGGTTCTAGCAGAGAACTGCAGTAGGAGATGCACAGATCAAGAGGCAAGTAAGAGACAAAAGGGTTCTCTACAAGTTCAAAGGCCAGAAAGGAGCCACCATCATCTATCAAAAGCCCTTAGGTGGCAGGGCTGGAGAGGTTAGCTCAGGGAAACTCCTGCCTCTGCAGGAATTAATCTTCTCTTCTTTGTAAACAATACTCAGAAAACCAAAAACCACAGGGAGGTCATCAGCACAAAGCATCAGCATAAAGGATTCACGTCATCAGCCAGTCTCAGCATGAAGAATTCAAGTGTGAAATTCATGGCTCCCTCAGGAAGGTGTTTCACAGCAAATCACTGGAGTTGCTCTATCAGCCCCAGAACTCCCCCCTCCCTCAGCTCTGCAAGGTCTTTAATTAGCTATTATTTTTTTCTCCTCTGCTGACACAAACTATTCATCCAAACCCCACTGGCTTTAATAATAATGCAACTTTGGAGAGATATGAGCAAGCTCAGAGCACAGGTTTAGGCAATCTCTAGCTTCCAACATCTGTGGATCACACCTACACTCACCCGTGTCAGCGAGACCTAAGATACAATTAGCACAGACTGCTAACCGTGGAATTGTTTGTATTGTACCTCATCTTAAGGGAACGTGACTGGTTTTCTCCTCACAGTGGGAAGGTCAGCAACACACACAGTGGTCTTTGCTCAGCTGTATGTCCAGGGGAAGTGCTATGGCGTGCATCCCTTCATTGTGCAGATACGCAGCCTTTGGGACCATTCACTGTGCCCAGTTAAATGACCCCAGACACCGCAGTGCTTGTGCAGGTGCTCTGCCTCTTTTGCCCTTATATGTTTTCTAAAACATTGTGCCCAGGGAGTTTTACAGTGCCAAAACCAAACCAAGACAGATACCTGAGTCACAGGTATCATTAACTACAACATTTTTATCTGAAGGAAGATCTAATGGCATATCCAGTCCAAGCCTTCCTAACCAAAGGCCTGGGCTGCTCTGACCACCCCTGTATTAACACCTCAGTTCTAACCCGGGCCAGCATGGGTGACAGATGGATCACGGAAACAAACTGCCTGTTTCATTCCTCAGGCAAGATCACCCATGCTGGGGAAGAAGCAGAACTGAACGTGACCTTCTCCTTTGAGACCCCCTGACACAAAATGGGGAGAGGAGTTCAAGTGGAAGTAAGCAGCTGTGTTTTCCCCTGCTCCAGGCATAACTGCAGGAGACATCGGTCCCAAAATGAGTTTTGAGCACATCGACAACGGGTACCTCATGCTGCAGAATGTGCGTGTCTCCAGGGAGAACATGCTGAGCAAGTTTTGTGAGGTATGACAGACTCACATCGCACGTCAGATTCTCACCGCACAGCCAGAGGGATGACAGGGAGCTGCCTAAATTTAGGACAAAATTCTTCCTTTGAGGTGTCTGCAAGTCTCAGTGGTTTTGCCAAGGGCAGAAGTTATCTGAATCCTAAATGAAACTCAATGTCAGGAATTCCACATTCAGAGGCTGGGGCTGATGGGGCAGGGAGAACCTGTCTGAGCCAGAAGCAGTAAGAATTTGTCTCTTTAAATGGATATGTTTCATCTATTATACATAAAAATACTTAGTTTTTCATCAGCAAAGGATTTTGATGCCCATTTTATTCTATGCGTAGAGATGACACAACCAGTATTGAAGTACTGAAGAAGGTGGCATCTAACATCCTCTCTCTAGGTTCAACCGGATGGCACCTATGTAAGACGGGGGTCCCAGCAGATTAACTATCTCACAATGACTGCAGTGCGCGTCGCCCTCATCTCACACGAAGCTGTAATACCCCTAATGAAAGCTTGCACCATTGCCATCAGATACTCTGTGGTTCGCCGGCAGTCCAAGTTAAAGCCTGGGTAATGCTATGCAGGTCTGCAGCTGTGGGAAGTGGACCATGCACCATGTTCCCCTGCACCAGTCTGTATTTCAGTTTCTTATCTTTCAGCACATCACTGGCTTATTTTCTGGGCCAGACATGCTTCCCCATTATTTACATTAACGAGCTTCAGTCAAAGTACAGGAGAGCGTTTACAGTTCTTTCTAAGATAAGTTTCATAGTTTGAATAGCTAAGCAGCTGACACAGAGAACTTATTTTTCTTGTAACTGGCCTTCCTGTGTAATCCCATAACTCAGAATCCAGATAATGTAGACAAGTTGCTGAATTCTTATTCCATAGCATCCTACTGGTGAGCACAACATTAAAATACCTTCCAACATCCACCCTTCCGATATTCACACTTTACAACGTTGAATTTATCAGTCTGGTGAGAATGCCTCTAATTTTTAAATAGATATTTTTCATTTGAATGGATTTCAGGAATTTCCACTTACAGCTCCTTTCAAAAGCAAGATTATCCTAATGAGAACATGGTTTGGATCAAACACAAGAGCACAGCATGCTCAACTATTGTAAGAACCAATTCCATCATCTGAAGTCCCAAGTGTACCAACCACAGAAAGAGTGGAAAAGAATATCCACAGAAAGCTCAGAGAACTTAAAATAATTTAGGCTCAACTATTTTCAGGGTCCACAAAGACCCAGTTTGCAAAGTAAAAGTTCTTCAGGGTGCAGGGCCAGCACATCCCTTTAACACCAAGCATCTTGCTATCCTTGGAAGGCTTCATCTTTATCCCCTCCTGCAGTCCCTGTTCCCCCTCTGCACCAGCCCATCACACAGAGCCTTTTCTACTCAATGCTGGTTCACCAACACAGCAGAAACATAATCTTTTTCATAGTCAGGCTCATTTCTCTAACAGCTGAGCAAGCTGGGCAGATTTGCTGGCACGACATCAGCTCAGTCCCCTTCACAAACTGCTGCTTCATAATGAAAAATGCCTGTTTTCATTTTTTTTACTTGTTTTCACTTATTCATTATGTGATAAGTAAACTAACAGTAGTTAAGCCAGTGTTCACACTTTCCCTAACTCACCAGCTGTCTTCCAACAGGGAAGAAGAAGCAAAGATCCTTGACTTTCAGACTCAGCAAGAGAAGTTGCTGCCCCACTTGGCAGCAGCCTATGCCTTTCATTTCATCAACAACTACCTGCAGGACCTATTCAACAGAGGGTATGAAGAGATCCAGAGGGAGAACTTCAGCATGCTGCCAGAGGTGAGCCACAGCAGCATTAGCTCATACAGCATTCCTCATCTCTAAATATCAAAGTATTTTAGCAAACTGGACAAGCATTCCTCTCACCACCAGATAACTGGAGAAAGAGGAGGCACTAAGAGATCAAATGATGTGTCCTAGGTCCACAACCAGTCAGCAACAGAATTTGCTTTACCACCCCAACTTTTTTGTTTTGGGAACTACTGCACAGTGAAAAGTCCTTGAAAAGCACGTCCATTTGATGAAAACCTTGTTCCAAGTGGCTGGTGGCACGAAGTGTTATTTCCCAACGTCATCTACAAATGCAAATATTTACTTCTGAGCCAAAACCAAAAACGGGACTTTTTAGATAGAACATAAGATTTTGCAACTGGAAGCCTGAAATGAAAGCACACTTTGAACAAGGGTGACCAAAGCCACTGCTGGTTGAAACCCAAAAAAGCATCAACTAACCACAGCGTGCCCAGCACAAGGGTGTGCAGCATCCCAAAGGAGGAGCTGGGTGCTAGGGATCCCATCCCAGGAAGCTGGGTGCTATGCCATCACGCAAGGGAGGATCTGACAGGGATTTCCTCCCCAGAAACTGCACAAAATTAAAAGAGGAAACTGATTCTGAGGATTGCTTTGGACCATTTTCACCATTAACTCTCTGCCTTACTTTTAATTTCTCTTTTCAAACAGCTCCATGCATTTTCTTCGGGCTTCAAAGCCATTGTTACTCAGTACTGTGCTTCCGCAGTAGAAGTCTGTCTCCGGGCATGTGGGGGCCATGGTTACTCCTTGCTGAGCGGACTCCCTTCCTTATGTACTAGAATACTTGCCTCTTGTATTTATGAAGGGGAAAACACCATTTTGTTCCTGCAAACTGCCAGGTAACAATCCAAACCTGTTCATCAAAAAGCCTGCCCCCTCATTTATTCAACCTCTACCACTCCTTCCCCCAAACCAGTAAAACCAGCTACCCCTTTCTCCCAGCACCTTCTAAAAATACAACTCAGGACACAAACTATTCATGCCTTCTGTCTAACAGGCATGGAGGTGTGGGGGAATTAGATTATCTCTTCTATTTTTGGGTTTGGTATGTATGCAGGTGCTGTTCTGCATAACCTCATTTTCCTCTGTCTGGGACCACAGCAAAAGCACTGCTACCCAAGTTTTGCAGTTTAGTTTTTAAGAAACCAACATAATGTGATATTGGCAAAGTGAGGTTGATTCAGAGAAGGCAGAGCTGTAGGATACTGAAAGCGGATGAGTCACACTCCAAGAACACCAGTTTCCTCAGAACACGCAGACTGACGATTATCCAAGGTTAGATTAAATACAGGAGAAAGAAACCACAGCTGCTGGAACTTCTAATAACATGTGCTTTTGCTAGAAGGAGAAAACCAGTACAATTTGCAGGGACAGAGGTGCAACCACACAGCTCTGTGCTTGCATGCTGCACTTCTGCACTCATTGCTGTCTCTTCTTGCAAGATCAATAGATTACTTCTAGACCTGGTAAGACTAGGTCATAGGCCAAAAAAATAAGGGAGTAGGAAATGCATTTAGCTCCAAGAGTCTCATATTTGTTAATATAATGTGATTGTATGTTGGGGATCACACCAAACCACCATTAAGACTCCTAGAGCATTAAGACTCGGGCTGCAAAGTTGATAATGTGTCTAATCACCATGCTGCTAATAGCCACAGCAAGTTTCTTCCTAAAAAATCATCACTACAGATTACTGTAGCATTGAATACAGTCAACAGGCTGCCCCTGAGACCCATCACAGGTCAGGTTATTGCAAATAAAATGTAAAATGTAAAGTCATTAGTCATTCAAGTCCATTCTGGACCACTGACGGGATGGGTTACATCTTGCTGCTCCTCACCTGAGCCCACTTTACTTTTCACATGACCATTTGCTGCAGAAGATCACAACCATCCCCTGCTCTGACTGTTATCCTCTTCCCAGGTTCCTGGTTAAGTGCTTCATGGCAGCCAGCGCTGGCCACCCTGTCCCACCATCTGTCACTTACCTGGCTGCAGTGAAACCTGAGAAGTGCCCAGCCAAGAACAAGTTTGATTTCCTCAGTCCAGATATTTACACCCAGGCCTATCGACATGCAGCAGTCAGGTCAGTACAGAGACAGGAGACATCCTTCTCTCTTTGACATCAGAAATGTGTTAAGAGCTCTGCTGCTTCATTGCTTTAAAGGGAGGTAAAATAACATGTTACACAAGAATTGACACCATCTGCTCCTGAGTGAGGAAGACTCGCACAGGTTTAACAGCCATGTCAAGTGTTCAGTATGAAGATTTCAGATTCAAAACATCACAATATTTTAAGCCACATGCTACCAAACAACTATATTCCACAAAGCTGATTCTATACCAAGCTGCTGGCTCTGTTTATGTAAATCCCAGACCACATCACTGAGTTGCCATTCAGTAAAACCTTCAGCCAGCTGGACCCTGTGCAGTTCTATACTCTATACAGAGCTAAAATTTCACATACCTGTGAAACTGATCATAGAATCATAGAATAATTAGGGTTGGAAAGGACCTTAAGATCATCCAGTTCCAACCCCCCTGCCGTGGGCAGGGACACCTTACGCTAAATCATATCACCCAAGACCTCATCCAACCTGGTCTTGAACACTGCCAGGGATGGAGCATTCACAATTTCCCTGGGCAACCCATTCCAGTGCCTCACCACCCTTACAGGAAAGAATTTCCTCCTTATATCCAATCTAAACTTCCCCTGTTTAAGTTTTAACCCGTATCCTCTTGTCCTATCACTACAGTCCCTAATGAAGAGTCCCTCCCCATCATCCCTATAGGGCCCCTTCAGACACTGGAAGGCTGCCATGAGGTCTCCACTCAGCCTTCTCTTCTCCAGGCTGAACAGCCCCAACTTCCTCACCCTGTCTTCATACGGGAGGTGCTCCAGTCCCCTGATCATCCTCGTGGCCTCCTCTGGACTTGTTCCAACAGTTCCATGTCCTTTTTATGTTGAGGACACCAGAACTGCACACAATACTCCAGGTGAGGTCTCACAAGAGCAGAGTAGAGGGGCAGGATCACCTCCTTTGACCTGCTGGTCACGCTCCTTTTGATGCAGCCCAGGATACGGTTGGCTTTCTGGGCTGCGAGCACACTGAAGCCAGCCCATGTTCAATTTCTCATCAACCAACACCCCCAAGTCCTTCTCTGCAGGGCTGCTCTGAATCTCTTCTCTGCCCAACCTGTAGCTGTGCCTGGGATTGCTCCGACCCAGCTGTAGGACCTTGCACTTGTTGTCATGGTTAAACTTCATGAGGTTGGCATCAGCCCACCTCACAAGCGTGTCGAGGTCCCTCTGGATGGCATTCCTTCCCTCCAGGGTATCAACCGAACCACACAGCTTGGTGTCATCGGCAAACTTGCTGAGGGCGCACTCAATCCCACTGTCCATGTCAGCGATGAAGATGTTAAACAAGACCGGTCCCAACACCAATCCCTGAGGGACACCACTCATTACTGGTCTCCAGCCAGACATTGAGCCATTGACCACAACTCTTTGCGTGCGGCCATCCAGCCAGTTCTTTATCCACCGAGTGGTCCATCCATCAAATTGATGTCTCTCCAATTTAGAGACAAGGATGTCGTGTGGGACAGTGTCGAACGCTTTGCACAAGTCCAGGTAGATGACATCAACTGCTCTACCCCTGTCCATCAGTTCCGTAGCCCCATCATAGAAGGCCACCAAATTGGTCAGGCAGGATTTCCCCTTAGTGAAGCCATGCTGGCTGTCCCCAAGCACCTTGTTGATTTTCATGTGCCTTAGCATGTCTTCCAGGAGAATCTGCGCCAAGATTTTGCCAGGCACAGAGGTGAGACTGACTGGTCTGTAATTCCCTGGGTCATCCGTTTTCCCCTTCTTGAAAATGGGGGTTATATTTCCCTTTTTCCAGTCATCGGGAACTTCACCTGACTGCCATGATTTCTCAAATATGATGGACAGCGGCTTCACAACTTCATTTGCCAGCTCCTTCAGGACCCACTGATGGATTTCATCAGGTCCCATGGACTTGTGCACATTCAGATTTTTAAGATGGTCTCAAACCAGTTCCTCTCCTACAGTGGGCGCAAGGTCTAAAGTTTCAGTTAACACCACAGCAAACACAGTGCCTCTCATTGAATCTGAGCTACACATTTAACTACTCAACACAAAAATAGTATCATGAGTGGTCTCATTGGTATTATGGGCACAGTTATGGGCCATACATGTGCCATTTCTGAAAATCAGGCAAACGGATCAACATCCCTGCTGCCATTCAAATCAGTGTAAAAACAGAGCCATTCTTCTGAAAGCTTTAGTGCCAACGGGAGCAAGATTTGGATCCCTGTGTAGAAAAGTAGAAACATAATGTAAGAACAGTCCAATATTGTCGTAGCTTTATTTTGTTCTGCAAATCCTCCTTACACACAGAACCCAAGAAAAACTCCTCAGAACCCCTGGTAAAGTACCGTGGAAGCTGAGAAGGCAAAAATCCTTCAGCATCAGGGTGGTTTGGGTGCTTCTCCCAATTTTTACTTAGATTTTGCATAATGTAAGTTCACTCATGCTGAGTGTAGGTAACTCAAAAGTCAGAAACGCCACTTTGCCATACGATCACACACAAGTCTGAATATGAAATGAGTGCATGTGGGCTGCTAGAGCCACATACAATATGCTTTTTGGATCTTCCAGACTCATCAGCAGCACAGCAGCTAAACTACAGGTCTTGATTCAGTCTGGAGTCAAAAAGCACGACGCGTGGAATGAGTGCACGGTGCAGCTGGTGCAGGCTGTGAAGGTTAGTAAAAATCAGCTGCTTATGTGATCTTTGTCTTTAGGATATAATGTGCAACAGAAACACATGATCAGCTTAAAGTATCAGTGCTGTTTATTGTTTTCTGTTAGCATCTAAGGGACACTATGAAGCCAAGGGCACCACTGTGGTCTGCATGGTGGGAAAATCATAGTAAGAAGCAACTCCTGACATGAAGAATTTGCCATCCAAATAGGCCAGGTGGAAAAAGACTAAAAGGAACAGAAATAAAAGGGGAGGGAAGAAAACAAAACATATACACAGTTCTGCTACCAATACTAGCCGAATCAGGCCTCCCACATCAGAGTCACAGAGTGGTTTGGGTTTAAAGCGACCTTAAAGCTCATCTAGTTCCAACCCCTTGCCATAGCAGGACACCTTCCACTAAGTAAGGGAGCAAAGACTAGACCTCAGCAGCAGCATTTTCTGTGGTCACCCACCTCCTGTGCATCACATCCCATTTTCAATTACACAGACTTGGGGGAAGCAGCAAGTATTCAGTGCTGTAAGCTTGAAAAAGAGCAGACAAGCTGTGTAACTGCCTAAAAAATAAAGGAGGCCTCCTATACAAAAAGCGACTTTGAAAAATTACTTTCCCAATTTTTTTTTTAATGTAAATATATTTTTAGTGGAATAAAACTGAGGCAAAGTGTTCTTGTTTGAGATTACCTCTAGGAAAAGCTTTGAACAGCATGCAAACCTGAACAAGCTGTTCCCTCCTGCACCCACTCAAATGGGTGGCCAAGGTCTCTGGACTGGAGAGCAGGGTGATCACATGACAGAGAAGCTGAAATCCAGCCCTCTCTGAGAAGCAAGGAGGAGAACCTAGTGAGAAATAAACCATTTCTGAAGAGCCCAACACATGCAGAAGGCTGGCTGTGGTATTGTCAGTGGTGACTGTGCTGGTAGAAAATGGGATCTGGGCTCCAAAGTTTCTTAAGTACTTCAGGGAGAGGAGAAGTCACCCAAACCCCTTGAGTTTCCCCCCATAACTTTAAAACCTTGATAGCCTGCTGCCTCCTTGGGGAACCTCTGGGTTTGAGCTAGATGACCTTAAGGTTCTTTCCAACCTTAACTTTCATATGATTCTATGACTTCTTATTTCACACCTTCCCTGGATACTCACCCACACGACTGGCACAGTAACTGTGTGAACAGATGCCTGCCAAGTGGCTCAGGCGCTGGGTACGGCTTTGCTGCAGACTCCACACAGGTTAATTGCTTAAGGAGACATCCAGCTTCTCGGGCAGGTTCTGCAGTCCACGCTGGCCTCCACACTGCTTGGCTGTGCTAGCAGGAAGAGCAGCAGTGTGAATGTGCCATGCTTACATCCACAGCGGGGAGGAGAACTGTGCAGTGGGAACTCACACAGATGCCAACATCACCAACCACCCACAGTAACAACAACATAACAAGAGCCACCCCCGCACACAGGTGGAGTCATTTGCTCTGGACCTCAGCTAATACTTCTGTAACTTGGAAGCTAGACACTCTACTGTCATCTGACACAAAAACAATCAGTTTACTTGAAGCCACAAAAGCAAGAAGTAAATTTGCTTGTTCTCCTGCGACAACACAGGTTTTCAGAGCAAAGCGCTATAGACACTGAAGCTAATGTACCATGAGCCCAAGGTCTTCAACAAGAGTTGTCTCTTATTGATGTATGACCAAGCTTCACTTGCTGGAGGTCAAAACAAGTCCATTCCAATGTGTGTTTCCATCACACAAACTCTTTAGGGTATCTATCCGAAATATTTAAAGTACCTGTGTGATTTCTGAAGTGGTTTTCTAGAGTTTACAAATACCAGTGTTTACACCCCCAAGTCTCTACAGTTGTTGTAAGACATGAATACAAAAGGTCTTGTGATCCAGCAAACAAAGAATACAGACTGGGAAAGTGCCAGGGAAATGAAAAGGTTTTATATTCTTTGCGAGAACATTTGAGTCATTTGGCCTACTAAGTGTTTTGAGGTGCATTCACTGTTGATTGCATTTGTTTTCCAGGCTCACTGCCACTACATCACAGTGAAAAACTTTGCAGAAACGGTGGAAAGACTCGAGGCCAAGGGTGGCATCCAGAAGATTATGAAACATCTCTGTGACCTCTTTGCGTTACATGGGATCTTCTCAAATGCAGGAGTCTTCTTGCACGATGGACACATATCTGGAGCTCAAATGGACATGGCAACCGCATCATATCTAGACCTCTTGGCTGTCATTCGGTGAGCTGCTCTAATATGAAAGGAGCTGTGATAGATCTATAAATGGTGCTGCTGTACCTATGGTAACATCTCCAAAGTCAATTCACCTCATTCGGGTTTTATTTTCATTGCCTGGCAGTACTAGAAATTGATTGAAGCATCTACAGAGCTTGTTTTCACAGCAAAACAAGACCTAAGTGCCCAGCTCCTCTGCAGTCTCCAAAGTTCTGGAACATGAAATCTTGAATTATAAACCAAGAAACCCTGAATGCTTTTTACCATTTGCAGTAGAGCAAAAGCAGGCAAACACATAGAGCAACACTGGTAGGAGGCAGCAGATCAGACACTGCAAAATCTGCTTAAGTAACAGCTAATACAGCCTACTCTGTTGCCATGGCTGAGTTGCAACCTGCACCCAAACAATCCTGCCTACAGCTTGTTCAGATGCGTCTGCTCGACACCATTTATTGCTAACTACATGAATTCTGAGATACACTAAAGTTTTAACTTACCACAACACTCACAAAGGCTTTCTGACAAGGGTTCTTCTTTCACTACTTGATGCTGTTTGTTAAGAACAGATTAATTTCTGGTGCAGAGAGTGAGTTGCTACTGTATGTAAAATTCTATTTAAGACACCTGAAGTGAAACAAGAATACACCATAGGCAGAGCTGGGCAGGACCGAGGTGAAGAGAGAACATTTTCAGAACTCATCACAGAATTCAAGTTAAGCAATAAGCTTAATGTAAGGCTTACAAAAGTCTAACACATTGTCATCTCTGGAATTCATTGCAACCTCTCAGTGTTATGCCTTGCTAAAAGGATTCAAGAATGCACATTTACCTATTTACAATTAGGATACAAACACTTCCTGGTCTGTAGCAAAACCCCAGCCTCTCCCAAACCCCCAAAGAGCCCTTTCCCAAAAGGAACTGGTAGATGCAAATACCAACATTTGAGCAAACCACTTTGCATCCCTCTGCCTCAGGTGTGGGATACAGCCAGCAAAACTTCCTGCACCCAGGATGATGGGAGGATGAGGTAAAAGAAACCATCTTCTGCCTAGGAGAAGAAGCTGTCATTACAGACTTGTCTTTATGCTCTAGCTATCTGCTGCTGACTGCTGGCAGATCAGCCCCTGGGCTAGACAGGCCCTTGGCGCAGTTCAGGGTTGCTTTGTTCTTATAGACACAAAAACAGTAGAAGACCTTGATACCCAATGATGAGGTAACAGAAATACTTCAGAGTAGATGAAGGCTGGAGATCAGCGGAGCACTTCACATGAAATCTAGCAGCAACCTTATTCCAGTTTGGAGGACAAACACAGCATAAGAAAAACTTATTAAAAACCCTGCAAAAACCAAAAGCAAGAACCGGCAGAGTGTGTTGAGGAAACATCTGACATGACATTGAGTCCTAAATGAGGGAATTAGGAATGGAGTCCAGGTGATTACATGACCTATTCAATAGTAGAGACAACTTAGGGCATTAGTAGAACATGCCTCTGAGGAATCAAAACAAGCAGGATTTCCCCCAAGCAGGATTTCCCCCATAGCCTCAGCAACGGGAAAAACTGGCACAAGCTTTTCCAGCTGAGGAACCTGGAACAACTGACTTTCCAGTTTACCTTTGCCTTATTTTCCTCCCTTACAAAGCAATACCCGCTTCAGTAACACAAACTACATTCATCTCCATAGGAAGGATGCTGTTCCACTGGTGGATGCCTTTGACTTCACAGATAAGACCTTGAATTCTGCACTTGGCAGTTACGATGGCCAGGTTTACCAGCGGCTGTATGAGTGGGCTCGGAAGTCACCGACCAACACACAGGTACAGATGCTGTATTATAGCCAGGCAACTTCTGCATTAGCCAGAGCAGAAATTGCTTTTCTTCTAATGAAAGCTATAGAGATACAAGTAAGTGGAATAAGACCTTTTAATTCTTAGTATCTCACTCTGAACAATGGCCTGTGATACCCCAATTATACCTCCTATAGTCTTAGATCAGCCATTGAACCCAGCGATGACTTACAGCCCCCAGAGTACAGCAGCTTGTAGCAGGGAGCTGGTCTGTGTATGCCACCAATGTGGTTTTGGTTTTTGAACTTACAGAGGTAGTACTGCACAAAATAAGCTAAACCAAAAGTCTGTTTACATAGTTTACATATTATGGAACAACATATTATGCAAAAGCCACTAAACACAGGGTATATTCCATTCACTGGTATTTCTACTAGTGCAATACTTAATTTTTCTAATAATATGTTTAACCAGAAAGGGTATAAATGTTATACAAGGCAATTTTATCCTTCATGGTTTAGCACTTTATTTTCACTTCCTAATTCATCCATATTGTGGAGCAGCATAAAATTCTGCACAACATAACTAGCTATTGCTCCATTTGAAAACCCATTTTGCCTTAAGGGAGATTTTTACTGTGGTAATCAGCAACCCTTTGAAATTCTACTGCTGAACACAGAATTTGCCTTCAGCAAGCACTCGTGTCCAAGCATATTTTCTGAAGTTAAATAGTACGCTGCTCCATTTGGGATGACTATTGTGTACTGGTTATGAAGGACAGCACATACTTGGGGAAAAAGATCCTGCACTTAGCTGAAGCAGCTAGTAGCTTGGGTTTGTTTTTAAAAAGGTCTAGCTTTCTGTAGTTCAGAGATCATTCTTTTATAAAAAATATACCGTTTTCTTTCTTAATTACCACTAATTCCCTTCCACATTCTCTTTCTGAACAGATGAACCCAGCCTACGAGAGGTATTTGAAGCCACTTCTTCACAAGAAGTTATCCAAATTATGAAGACCATGATCTAAGTGAAGGCCACACACTTCCTCCCGTCTTTGTGCAGCTGTACATTGACAAAGCATCAGCAGTGACAAATCAGAATTCATAATCAGTTGCTTACTTCCAGTTGTAGCAAGTATGAAACAAGATTCTTAGCCAGCCACTTGCATTTAACCAGGCAGAAGTCAAACAATGCTGAGTACAGCTCACTGCTATGAGGCAATCTAGGCTGAAACAGGGTTTGCTGTTTTCTAATGTGAAGTGTCCCAATAGCATTAAAACTATGTCATTTGGCTTTCTTATCCTTCTTCTAAAGCCACTTTATGGTGATTAAAGGGGGGAAAAAAAAACAAACCCCATTACAAGCTCCTTCTCAGTGTGTTATAGCTGTACAGTGCCTTGAGAAAATCCCCACTAACCCAACCTTTCCTGAAAAACCCAAGGAAGCTAAAATGATGGTCCCTGGCTTCTAGGAAAAACTTGTTCTCTTAGATCAAAAAGTATACTAGAAAGTACATCTGCTTGGATAATTAACTCAGCTCTCAACTTGCTCAGCAGTGGAGTATTCCAGGCTAATGAAGATTCAGACAAAGCTGATGCCAACTCCAGTCTGCAAAATTTCCTTTGCTGTTAATAGAGCCACTCACATAGTCTTTCTGTAAATCTTGGGCTCCAATAAAGTGTATTATTTCAAATACTGCTTCTCTGATTATTATACTTCATAATTATGGAAAAGGCAGGCTGATCCAGGCCAGTCGTTAATTTGCTAGTAAATGAAGTGTTGCAAAGAACATCTTGTGATCACAACTCAATGCCAGTTAACACAGATATTTCTTACCATGTGTTGCAGGAAAGAAACAACCACTTTTCCTGAGCTTCATCCGTTCAGTTTTTCTTCCTCCCCTTATAGGAAGAATAAAGCTCTTATTGCCTCTTATGACAAGTCAGAAACTCTGTGATGTTTGAAGAAGGGGAGACAAAATATAAGACAGAAATCCAAGCCTGTTGAATGAGAGATGGGATAGAAAGCTCCTGCCCTCAAGAACCAGCAACTGACACAGAAATCTAGACCCCCTCTTACATCCCCAAAGAGCAAAGCTGTTGTGGTAAGGAGCACCTGAGCCAAGCACTTCATGGGAGAACAGGATCCATCTGTCCAAATGGATAACAACTGTCTTGCTCCCAACAGCATTCAAGTTAAAGCATAACCAGAAGTTCTATTAATAACTAAGACAAATTGCCCAAGAAAAGAAATGGCTACACAAATTTGAGTAAAAACACAGAACCTGAGTGCCTTCACTTGAACATCATCAGCAGCACTCCACAGTTAAAATTCTATCTATAAAATCGTTAGATAAATCACTGACAAACCAGGTAACAATCCTTAGCAGCTACTCAGGCTCTTTGTTGCCTCTATCCCTACCCCTTTAGGCAGGACAAATACTTGGCATCTTTCTGTTAGTCATAATGCAATTCTCAAAACACAGTTTATTCTATAATGAGGGCAGCTGAATCAATATAAAAAGGCACAAAGTGCATCAGTAATGGAGGAGAATGGAACCCTACCGGAGCATCTGAACTACTCTGCAGCACAGAAAAACAGGGTTTGGATGGGTTTTTTTAGTTGGTTGGTTTTAGTTTTTTGAAGTATTAAGAGTTCTAGAAGACAAAAAGAAAATACAAAATAGTATTCTGTATTTCACATTTTTATTAGCTTCTTGCTGGCAGGCATTACACTTGGGAATAATATTGCACCAGGCATTAAAAATATTAATTCTACCACAGGGACATTTTGCATTTAGAATCCAATATAAATATTTCTAATCATATTTCCATGGCTACAGATAATATTTGGTTGCTTGATTTATATGCATAGAAAGAAACAGTTGTCATAACTGTAAGAAACTGTACTTATCAAGTACTTTTAAAAGGGAGGAATTTGTTTTCCTAAAATATTACAATACTGTTTATTTATTTAGAAACTAAATTAGACTACATGATAGCAGCTTTTCCCCAACTGCATTTTAAATTCTTTTTTGTTTCTTGCTCCCAGTGTCATCATGTTAGATGGATTAGAAGCCATTTTAAACAGAGGTAATTTTAGCACTTTTGACTCAGAGAATTGTGTTAATGACATAAAATACCCTATTGGACTAATTCTTCGGACTCCCTCTTTCAAACAAAAAGGTGTCTTGACTGAACAGGCACATGCACGGTTTTCTTTTCAGAACAGGACAAAAGGACAGAGCTGCTGGAGAAGGGAACTCCTCCAGTCCTTACTGAGAAACAATAAATAGTCGTATAAAAAAAAGCCCACATTGTTGCTTTAGTCAAAACCCAGATTCTCTTGGGATTACTGTCCAGTGAGGTTGATAATCACTGAAGCGGCTCCTGGAGAGCCAGAATCAGTCATCTGTTTTCCTTGCCAGTCTACAGAAAGTCCAGTTATGCTCCACTGTGTTCTCATTGGCCCGTTCACTCATATGATGAACTCTGGTATTCCTGATTGTGAAGCCTTGCTTTGTGATGTACTCCATGAGGTGGACTCTGAGTGATACTTCTTGGTGGTAATCGCACGGCCCAAAAGTGAAGGAAACCTGGCAGTCCCTGGTGTCCATCATATGCTTATTCCACTTTGTGAAGTGGTTTGAAATGCCTTCCAGTAATGAATGGACTTTTGTGGTGATAGTGAGCTGTGTGATGATTACAGCCACTGGGTTGGAGTACTTGGAAAGCTTCCGGGTGCTGGACAGCTCCACCACCTCCTCAAAGGTATCCACGGGATACAGTGGTTTGGGGTCATTAAGACACTGAATGAGTGGTTCAATCTGATAGAAGTCTGCTTCCTTCCGCAGCAGGTCAAACTCCTTGAAGTCCAGGGGCAAAGTGAGCTCTGAGGTCCTTAAAAAGTTAAGAACATAACGGAAAAGTGGTCCATCTCTGTCAATAAAGTAATTGCCCTGAGAGTCCCTGGCAGTGGGGAAGTCTCCCCTGAACATGGCCCCAAGCATTGAGTCAGGATATCTCGTTAGAGTTGTGAGGGATGTCGTATACATGTGTCCACCCACATTTAGCGTGACTGGATCAGTCATCTAGAAAGAGAGAAATTGCAGAGTTTATCAAGCCACCACAAGAAGATTCAGTCACCTCACTGACACACATGGCAAAAACTGCAGGCTCTGCAGAGAATCGCACTTCTATCCGAAGCCTTTAAGCGGTGTTGAAACCCAAACAAATCCAAGCCACCTAGCAACAAGGCACAACTGGCAACTAGACAGGGTGATAGTTAACATTCAGAATGCACATTTCCAGAATGCTTTAGAAATCTTAACAACTGAGCTGTTGCCACAGAAGCAAGTTTTGCATTTGGGCAACAAAGTTTTTTCCTATTCTAAAGATGGGGAAATGAGAAGAGAGATATTTCCTGAATAGCAAGTTAGTCTGAATGCGGCCCAGCAGTGTTTCTTACTTTTACAATGTACCATTCTAGACCAAACAAAAAGGGGGAAAAAAAATAAAAGGAAAAAAAAAAAAGAAAGAAAAAAAATCAGCTGAACAAGTCCTAAGCTTCTTTCTCTCCTTCAAAACAGGATGACAGTGCAAGTTTAGACACAAGACCAAGAGCTCACAAACAACATAATCCATGCTCTGGTTCAGAGGCATCATTAAAACAAGCAAACAAAAAAAAAAAAAACAACCTTTCAGCTTTTAAGTCTAAAAAGACATTTATTAGTAAATGTAGAAGAGGGAGGCAGAGCACAACCTCTCTGCATCGGCTTCCAAATAGCACATGAGGAAGCAAGAGAGAAAGGAACATAAATCCCATCTGGCCACCAATCCTAACAACTAGGACTGAGGCCAGCCAGAGAAAAGAGACATATGCATGGCAGCAGAATGTTTAGAAAAGGAGAAAAGGAGAAAAATGAGATGCACTTGTCTAGTTCGAGGCAGGGTTTGCAAAGAAAAATATTTTTCCTTCATAAATAAAATTACAAAGTCCTTAAAATCACAGGCAGGAAGCACTATTTTCTGCCTTTGTGCGTTAGGAAAACAGTAACAGTGAGCTTAAGGCAACACTTAGGTACTCACTGATTGCACCTAGGAAACATGAACCTGAGCTATCTCACAACCAGCACATGAGGTAAAGCACTCCAGAGAATGTAAGTAAGCTATTGTAACATACACAGCTTTTTTTCCTCACGACTGAAGCTCTGGATCTATACCCAAGACAGATCTGGAAGAACTCTTACTGTAAGGTCTCAAAAGCCTAGCTGCCCCACACAGTGCACACTTCCACAGGCTCCATACGCACTTACCATATATCCCCAGTCTCCATTATCCATCTGTTCAATTGCTTGAACTATGGTATTCCAAGTTTAACAGAAGGCTGCTGAAAGCATACACGATTTACCTCCTCTTATCTCCCTGCAGGAAAAAGCACACACAAAAACACAAAACAAAGAACAAAACATGGCAGACCATCAGTACCTAGAACAACCACCAAGGGGAATGCTTCCTAATCAAAGGTAGGCTTTCTGCCAGCAGAGCATTCAGCTACAAAACCACATTAGCAAGGGAATCTACAAACATGCTTTTCCCACCTTCTCCCTTCATGCTACCTACAGGACTGCCTCCAGAGCACATAGATAACCACTCCGCTGGCTGTCTGACCATCCCAGTTTTGTTAAATGACATGCAATCTGCTTCCGAGGATAACATACATTTCCAGACTGCCTTTCACCTGGGAAACTGTGAGTACTTCGAAAGACAGATGTTCTTTTCCCAATTAAAAAAGTTGATTTAGCCACCACTGATCATACATGTGATTTGTTTATATTGTCAGAACTTCCATGCTCCAGTTTTAAACTGCACAGAAGAATAAATCAAGCATGAAAGTCAATGAGCAACAAGCAGAAAAAAAGTATCCCTGTAAAATAAATAATTCAGCAGTGGAGAACTGCAATTGATAGCAAGAACATTAAACTACAATGTGAATGGACTTCACAGACACATAGGCACCCTCAAAAGAAATCTCTTCAGGGACAAGCCAGAGAACATCAAACATGTTTTCAACAACGCCCCAACAAAAGCAATTTGAGAAGTGATTCTTGGTTTGACTTCCCTGTCCCTGAACTGCTGACTTGCATAACAAGGGGACCCTCTCAACACAAGCACACCAAGAGAAATACAAAGCCCAGGTTGTGCAACTTGAGGTGGAGGGTGGGAGTGAATGACTCCAGACACCAGTGGAGGTTTTCCAAAAGTGGCCTGCCAACCATGTCAAGTGATGAACGGACCAGAAGCCAGTCACCAATAAGCCTTTATCCCTACCCAGAGCCTGCCTCACTGCTAGAATTGCTGGAAATTTAGGTCAGTCTGTTTTAAGTAGGGTACAGCTTCGCAGCTTTGTTTATTTTTACATCTTACAGACCACACAGTTACCAAGACTTCTGCTTCCATCCTCTTTACTAGCAAACTTCAACACGCAGGCACCCAGCTAAAAGCAGCACAAAGATCAAGCCCAGCCAGAGCCCTACATTCCAAACCAACTGAAGGTCCACAGTTAGTTCCCAACCAAAAAGTTTCTTGCCCTTCGCACTGCAGCAAACCAAGTTGGCCTCATTCACCACAGAACAAGGCCGCACATCCCACCTCTCTGGGCTGTGTTATCCCATCCAATCCTATAGCCTGGACACAACAGGGTCCAGGAGATCAGGCATTCAGGGGCGGCAGCACAAGCAAAGCCTCAGCTATGCCTCAGATGTATGAAAGAGTAGAAAAACCCAAATCACTATATGAAAATCATGAGGTGAGACAACAGAAGACGAAGGAATACTCAGATACAGAACTAGTCATACCAGGATCCTATTTTTACAAATTAGAGACAGAGCATGCCTCAAGAAAGTACATTAAAGCACAGCCCGACAGCAGATAAACCTGGAAGGCCAGCTCTTTTGCCAGCCTCTGTAATTATGTTATTTAAACTGTTCACAAATCAAGAAGTGCATTCATTCAGGTTTTCTTTATTTGGGATTGTCATTCAAGTACAGCCCATTAACTTTATCAGCAGCCCATGCCTTTTCGATTCCAGCACTTACAGGTGTTATTCTGGTCAAGTATAACACATAGATGCATTAAAATGATAGGAGAGACTGGTCCAAGCTTCTGATAGTCAAAGCAACATTCACTTGAAGTGAACTGATGCAGCCAGCCCAGAAACTTCCCTAGTAATCATGACAGAGGAGATCTGCAGTGTTAATAAAATTAACTTCAATTATATAGTCAGAATATTCCAAAGACAATGTCCATCAGTTACATTATTTTGGTCAGCATCTAAAACCACACTACAGATGAATCAAGACTATCAGGGCAAGAAACAGATAATGCTGTCTATATGAAGGCATGAACCAATCTTTGATCACAGCACTGCTACATAACACTGGAGTCAATAACTTACGAGCAGTCTGCTGAAGCAAACCCACCCTTGACACAGAAGTGGCGCTGAGAAACCTCACCGACGTTTGCCTAAGAACCTAGAATCATTTGGTACACGCAGACCAGTGCTGGAGCAGGGTGCACAATACAAACAGATGATACCAGGAGGCCACCTGAAAATGCTTGTGTGATCACAACTTCTCTCATCAGCCTGGGAGCTCTGAATTTCTAGACTTCACAGGCAAAAATAACTCTGTTCAGGTGCAACCTGAGGTAAGTAGTAGCAAAGCATGTCACCAGAAGGATAAGGACATACACCCTTCATGATGTACACCCTTCCAATGATGCTTGATATTCTTCCTGAATGAAGTATGATGGTGCATCCATGGGGGTGGGCAGACACTCACTCCATCTGTACCCTGGGATGCACTGCCTCAGGCCAGCTCTTGTCCTTGTGTCAGACAACACCACATTGCACCCAGGGGCAGCCTCGCTAACGTGGCTACTCATGTCCAGACAGCAGATAAGAGATGACATGCAGCCATATCCCAAACACAGCCTGCCTTTAATAACCATAAGAAAAAGTCACGCAAGACGAAATTCAGACAAATTGCTGATACCATTTAAGCCAAATGGGATGTCACTCTTGGTGAGAGCAGAAGCGTACCGATTGCGTGAAACCACAGTCCTGCTTTCATTGAACTGCTTCTGTAAGCAGCAAGAAGATACACAGCATTAACATGGTCATTACAGCTGCTTGCAGCAGCCAAGCACATCACAAACTAGTAATACAAAATGAGAAGCAAGTACCTTTCAAGAAAAATACTCAAGTCATCATTTTATACTTAGTATACCAAATTGGATACCTGCATTTATAAAACGCTCACTCTTACTTCATATGTTATGACTCAGAGGATCACAAGGCTCTTCACAAGCAACACTACTACAACAGGTATTCCTGTTAACTTCAGCAGGGCTTCTCCCAGGACAGAGCTGCTAACGTGAAACCATTCTGCAAGCTGGAATTCAGAGAAAGCAAGTAAGAGTCAGCTGAACTTCTGCTTCTGTGAACACACACATGGGCTTAGGCAGGACAGGGGATGGTGGCAGCATTCCCGAGACCATGTGCATTGCAGTTGGTCAAGGCCACAGGCTACACACTGCACCTGGAGAAACCCATTGCACTGGCACTACATGCAGTTACTTGAAGGAGGAGCAGAAATAGACCAACAGTTAAAAGTCAAGTCATGCACCACCTGGTTTGTTCTAAATGGTTTTCATCTAGTCTTTCCAACAAAAGAATTAAAGGATTTACTTGTGGCACCATCTTTAATAGACACTTTGGTATCAGTATAACAACACAAGCTGTTTAACATCCACACAAACTGTTTAACTGCTTATACAGATAAATACACCTGGTATTTCAAGCTACTCACCCACTTGGTGAGCTCCCTGCCTCTCACATTTAGATCTCCAAAGATGAAAAGGAACTCCTGCCCTCAGCATAGCTACACTGTACATAGACAACCTTTTTATTCCCCAGGCAGCCATAACATTTGAAAGGCAAGTTTTTATTATAAATCATTATCAGTTACTCACCTGAACTGACAAAAACTAACTAGCACCAGAGATGACTGCACTCCATCACACTGTACAGCAAGACAAGTCTGCAGAGTGAACCCATGAGGCTTCAACACTCTGCCACCCTAAGGGAGTGAGGAGGAGGCAAGCTCTTAAAACAACCAGTTATCAAACCTTCTGGCAAATCAGATCAGCTTCACTACAGAAAGCACCCATCACCACGTCAAGTTTATAACAACTAATAGATAATTAAAAATTAACTCACTTCTTGCTTTTTAGGTTTTTTTTTGTTTGTTTTTTAATTTTCTTTACTAATACTTAGTCTTCACCCCAAATAAGAGGGAAAAACGCTCACACCAGCCACTCAGTATTCTCACTCATTCATGTCTAATTGCCTCACTATAAATTCCAAGATCCCAAAGTTTCCTTCCCACCCCTGAGGAGCTCTGTTACATCCTGGTTTAAGTCCAGGTTCCAAACTTTCATTTTAATTGCTAGTCTGAAGAGCCCACATCACTGTATCACTTGGGTTCTCCTCTCACGAGAGCCAAAAGAAGACACTTGTATCTAACCTGGTCCTGCTGACCCTATGCTGCTGAAGTAACCCCAGGCACCCAGGCTTAAAGCATCCCTCACAGCAGTTGGGTTTTACCCATGTATTTTGCTTCTTAGGAACTAACCACTAGTTGGTTCTGTGTGGAAATATGTCTCCAAACAGTTCTAGAGGAAGGCAAGTGTCAGAAACACCAAGCCTCCCTGCCCACACCAGTGGGGCTCAGCATGAGCATGGATCAAAGAGCAATGCAGCAAGATAGGGGCAGAAGTCCCTCCTGTGAGCCCAGGCCAAAGAGGGGTCCAGGTCTTCAACAGGAGATGGGAAGCACTAATTTCCATCACAGAGGAACCAGCGAGCTCATGGTGGAGGAACTCTCCCCAAAATTACAATGATTCAGCAAAGATGCTGGAAATGAACCCAGACATTTTACCTCCCCCCTGCAAGTGACCCATAAGCCCACAGCCTTCTCCCCACCCCGCAACAGTGTCCCAGCTCTGCCTCCTCTCCCCGGTACAGCAAAAGAACCCATTCCCCTCTTTGCGTGGGGCAAGACCCACATACCTGCACCCTCCCTGACAAGAGATCACCGCGTACGCTGTCTCGCACCCCAGCTCCTTCCCCCACCCCAACTAGATGCAGGACCCACGCACCAGCTGTCCCACCCCTACCCTAACATCGGGTCCCCGGTATCCCACCCCGTAGCCCTTCCCCGGCACCGAAAAGACCCCGGGAGCCCAAACCCATGCCCTGCACCTCACACCCTCCCGGGATGGGGCCGTCCCGCCCTAAAGCGTTGCCCGCCTCCCGGGGCGCCCGGCCCCGCGCCCCCCAGTCCTGCGGCGGCCCTGCCCGGCACTCACGGGAGCAGCTCCCGTCGCTGAGGCAGAGGCCGGCTACGGCGGGGACAGCGGAACACGAGAGCAAAGCGGAGCCGCCAACGCCGGCAGGCAGGGGCGAGGGCGTGTCCTGACCAAGCCACGCCCCACAAAAGCCGCACCACCTCACGTTTGTGGGGCGAGGGGCGGGCGCCGCCGGGCCGCGGAGCACCGAAGCGCCGCTCCCGTAAGGCCGCCGGACCGGGTCCCCAAGCGGGGTGGGAGCCGCCTGGCCCGAGCAGCCGTGTCGCTAAAAGGCGAAGCGGTGGCCGAGGGCGGGGAGCTCAACCCCGGGCCATGCAGCTCCCTCCTCAGCGCAGGTGGGGGGCACGGCGGTCCCAGCCAAGCGCAGCTACCACTACTACCACTGCCGAAGGGACCCGGAAGTGGCGTTTAAACACCGCGCCGGGTGTTCTCGCGAGAGCTCTGGGTGGGCGGGGCGAGACGGCTCGCCAGGCCGCGCGGGGCGGGGCCTCGGCGTCACCGGCGGCGCCGACGGTCCGGCGGCGCTAGAGGACACGGGCAAGATGGCGGCGGCTGTGGCGGTATTGCGGCACCTGGCCCCGCTGGGATCCCGCCTCACCCGCATCCCGCCGCACGGCTGCACCGGCGGGCGCTTGCTCCAGCATCGCAGGGGGCTGCGTGTCTCCGCGCCAGCCGCCATACAGGTAACAGCGAGCTCGAAAGAGGGAACTGGGGGAAACGGGCTCGTGTCCCCCTCAGGGGAGGCGAGGCCTTGCCCCACCGGCTCCACTGTCTCACAGGTGACTGTGCGGGATGCACTGAACCAGGCGCTGGATGAGGAGCTGGAGAGGGACGAGCGCGTCTTCCTGCTCGGCGAGGAGGTGGCCCAGTACGATGGCGCCTACAAGGTACGTTGGTACCGTTACCAAGCCGTGAAAGGGCCTCGGGCGGGCGCTGACTGCTCTCTCCTTCCAGATCTCGAGGGGCCTCTGGAAGAAGTACGGGGACAAGAGGGTGATCGACACTCCGATCTCGGAGGTGAGACTCTCCTGTCTCCTACCCTGGCGCTGCCTTCAGTTGTTCCCCCAGCACTTACCCCCTTTGGTTTCCTTCTCTTTCAGATGGGCTTCGCAGGAATTGCTGTTGGTGCTGCTATGGTTTGTAAACGTGCATTTCTCTACTTCCAATTTAAAAAATTAAACCTATTTCTACGTTAAAGCATACTAATATACATAAATATATTTAACAGGCGGGACTGAGACCGGTGTGTGAATTCATGACATTCAACTTCTCCATGCAAGCGATTGATCAGGTCATAAACTCAGCTGCCAAGACCTGTTACATGTCTGCAGGATTAATCGGTGTTCCCATTGTCTTCCGGGGCCCCAACGGGGCATCAGCTGGAGTGGCTGCCCAGCACTCCCAGTGCTTCGCTGCTTGGTACGGGCACTGCCCGGGACTGAAAGTTGTTAGTCCTTGGAGCGCAGAAGATGCCAAAGGTCTGCTGAAAGCAGCCATCCGGGACGATAATCCAGGTGAATACAGGCAGATAGTGGTAATACCTCGCACCTGATCCTCAAAGAAAATGTCAGGCTTCCCCTCCTGCCCCATTTAAAACAAAACAAGATTATTAAACCCTAAACCACTCAGGTTCAGGGTACTTAGAAAGGCACAGAAGTATTTATTATTTTCCTAACAGTCACTTCCTTTATTAGCAGTAGATTAGCTTTGTGCTGTTGTCACAGCTCTGTATCTTTAGTGCTGGTTTGGTACCAGTCAGGAAGGTTAGAAACATTTATGAACCTATTGTAAAGGGGTTAAAAAGGATAAATCGGGAGGAATTCCTGCTTACACAGTGTCCATATAAGTAATTTTTATAGATAATGAAATTCAGATGATAAATTCAGAATGTCATTAAAAGCAGGCAACCTCCATCTTTATTTTTCACAAACATACATGCAAAATGTAAGACCTTTCTAAAATGGGTGATTCTGCCATCATGTACCAAAGTTAAACACCTGATCTCATTGTAGACAATTTTTTAAAATCAGCCTACTACAAGAAACCTGGAGAGGGACTTTGGATAAGGGGAATGGCTTTAACTGGGCTGAGATGAGCTCTTAGGCAGATGTGCCTCCCTGTGAGGGTGCTGAGGCGCTGGCACAGGGTGCCCAGAGAGGTTGCGGCTGGTCCATCCCTGGCAGTGTTCAAGGCCAGGTTGAATGGGGCTTGGAGCAACCTGCCTATGGTGGGGGGTTGGAACTGGATGTGCTTTAAGGTCCTTACAGCCCAAACCAGTCTGTGATTCTATGAAGTAAAGACTGTGATTTATTTTAATTGCTTCTGCAAACATGCTCAAGTCCTTCTTGCCCAATGGGTTTAGCACAGTGAGTGAGTCTGCTGCAGTACTGTTAGTGTCAGGACAGTCCCGTGCCTGCAGACATATACATTAATCCAAATATGTTTTCTTCTAGTTGTGATGCTGGAAAATGAGTTGCTGTATGGTGTTCCTTTTGAACTGTCTGAGCAGGCACAGTCAAAGGACTTCGTTATTCCAATTGGAAAAGCTAAAATAGAAAGGCAAGGTAAGCTGAGAATAGTTTATTTCCTTGTTAACTGAACTGCCTGGGGACCTTTTTTAACCTCATAGCTATTCAGAATACAGTTTTTATGAGAGAGAAGTATTTCAAATGTTAAGTGTTGAAATATTACTTTATCCAGTAGAGTGCTTTATTGTATGTTGCCCATATAAAGAAAGATCACCTTATTCTCTGTATTTTACCTAAAACTGTAACCTTCCAAAGGATTTGTTCCATGATGGCTGAAAAGCGTCTTGTCCTCACCTTAGTATGTAATTTTTGTCAAGAATGCAAAGAGATCATTGTAGCGTTTCTGTCACTTTGTTCATCGTTTACCACTGAATTATATGAATGTTTGAAAAGGAGAATCTGAAAACTATTAAGTAGTCTCTCCAGTTCCCTGAATTAAAGGATAAAATACGTGTTTTAGTAGAGTCCTGCTGTTGCCATTCTTTATGCTGTGTATGGGCACAGAATAGTGAGGATTTTAAATAAACCTAAGGAACTTAAATTTCCAAGGAACGCCTAACTTTACCTTGAAAGGAGCCTGAGGTCTAGAAAAAGAGCTTTTTAAGGGGTTATTTTTTAACCCTTGTTTCTGTTTTAGGAACTCATATTACATTAGTGTCACACTCAAGACTTGTTGGACACTGTATGGAAGCAGCTTCTGTACTTGCCAAAGAAGGTGTAGAGTGTGAGGTGGGTGAGATTTCTGTTGCTTTTCTCTCTTCCTAAAGTGCGGAAAAAAATCTTTTAAGTGCCTTAACACCATGGGCATCTCATGGTTCTGCATCTGACCTTTTCATCACACAAGGCAGAACTACTGATGATTTTGAGAGTGACCCAGCTGTATGGGAACCAGAACAATGACAGTGTGTGTTAGTATGGTTGGATCTTGATATAGCAAGACTCACCTATCAAGGATTTTCCAGGAGTCATCAGAAACTGTTCCTCAGAGTCTCTGCCAGAATAAAAAGTTAGAAATGTTATTCATGTTAGGTCTTGTCTTCAGTGAGAATAGATGAAAGTGCTAAAGGACACTGTAATCCTTTTATTAAGTAGTAACTGACAGGCTTAGATCATAGCAGAACTCAGAGTCTTTCTCCCCAGGTTATAAACATGCGTACCATCCGACCAATGGATATCGAAGCAGTGGAAGCCAGCATTGTGAAGACAAACCATCTAATAACTGTAGAAGGAGGTTGGCCACAATTTGGAGTAGGAGCTGAAATCTGTGCCAGGATCATGGAGGGTATGAGTTTTGCTGTTACATGTGTTGGTCACAGTCTGTAGTCTAAATCCTGATGACTTCTTGATAAAGCCAGATGAATACAAAGTTAGGATTCTAGATCTGAGGAGCTTGAGCCTAGATGTCTTGCTCCAGAGATTTTCACAGGGTGGATCCAGCTCATCTTCATTGGAAGTAGTCCTTATCCCAGGAACTTGACTGTGAGAGAAGCAGGATAGAATTGTTTTGTCTGAACCATAGTGCATGAAGATAAGCAAGAACAGCTTTCTCTGGAATATTCGAGCTACAGGAACAGGATTGTTTCATCAGATTAAGGTTTAGAAATTGAATTGAGAGAAAAGCATCGTGTGTAGCAACCTGACATCTCTCTTGTTTCAGGACCTGCCTTTAACTACCTGGATGCTCCAGCTGTGCGTGTTACCAGTACAGATGTTCCTATGCCCTATGCAAAAAACTTAGAAGATAACAGCATGCCTCAAGTGAAGGACATAATATTTGCAGTGAAGAAAGTACTGAACATCTAATTTGTAAATACATGCTTTAAAGTTCTGCTTTATGAAGTGTTTATGTTGTTGGGCAAGTTGTATGCATAACTTCTGTTGTATAGTTATATGAACTTTTGTATAGTGGGGGAAGTACTGGGGACCTCCCAGGATGTTTATACCGGGTCACCCTCTAAGCCACATGTCATGTAAGTAACAGTGTGGCCATGCTTGTTTGTTCAACAGTACGGGTGGATTAGTGCTACTGTATGTGGAGAAATCCTGTTGTAAACTTGGAGTGAGGAAAAATCCTCCATTTCTGCTTATCTTGTAATTAATTACCAGACCAGCTGCGTTAACTGGCTTTAGTGGTGGTTCAAGGAAGAACTGTAGTGAGCAATGGGAGGCCCCAGTGCGAGCCCTGGAATGCTGTGGCTCCCTAGGAGCCCAGGTCACAAGGCTTATTAAAGGTGAAGGATCAAACAGGCCTGAGTGAAAACTCACTTGGCAGTTCAGCAGTTAAGTGCTGCTGTTTGTACAGAGGGGCTTTGGCCCTGCACTCTGAGCACTCTGCTTATGCAGGAAAGCTTCTGCACAAGAGCTTTATTTAATAAAAATTCTCTTCAGTATGTGATGGGAAACGCTACACAATTTTTCTTTACTAACAGCCACATTAAGTGATAAAAATGCTTTGTGTCACATGGGCTAACAACAGCATGCTCAAACTGTAGTTCTTACAGTGCAAAATAAGCTATTTTACTCAGACTCACTGAGTTCTGAAGCAGCAGTTGTGTAGATGATGTTTGGAGAGCTGGGGAAGTGGCAGCAGCCTTTCAGTAGATGGCTGCACACCGGGGTTCAGTCCAGGGAGGGCTCTGCTGGGCTTTGTTCAGTAGCTTCTGGTACAGAGTGAGAGCTGCCTGTATCAGCCTGGCTTGCCCCAAACACTGGTGGCTTTCCAGTGAACTGCTGGAGAGGAGACCTACTTACCTCTGTAAGGAGCAGAACAACTCGGATCCTGTTTCCATGAAGGGCCAGGAATACCTTTCAGGGTATTCCCTTTTGCAGAACTGCTGTTAGGTTCTTAGGAAGTCTGGCTTCAGGTGCAATCCTGGGTGAACATACCCACCACTACACTGCTGGAGGAATTCCATTAATATTTTAATAAAAATTACTGGATATCACAGGTTGCATGAAACTTTGTACAGACATTCTCTGCATAGTAACAAACACGGATGTACTTGAATTTAAAAAAATGGATTATCTTTAATCCTTTAAAGTGCAATTTGTTTAAGGTTTTAAATCAAAAAAAAAAGGTTCTTTCAATAAAGTTTAAGCTCTAGAATTAACTTGGAAGTAACTTTGCATGTAACTAAATCAAGAATAATATCCCGGTGCCCTGTTAACTCCCCTTTCAACTCATTTCCTCATTTAAAAACACTTCCCCTTAGAGTTACAGGTAGGATGGCCATTTAAACAAGTTTAATGAGACAGCATTTTTACTCCACCAGCAACGAGGGTGGGAATAGGATGTAATTCTCCAGTTCCCTCACCTGTGCAGTATGATTCAAGGATTGGGGGGGTGGATTATCTAAAACAAAACTTGCTGATTCAATGCAGCAAGAATTAAGATGAGTTAAAAGTGCATGAAAGGAGCTGAAAATCTGAGCAGGCTAAAACTACAGACCTGTAGTATGGAAAAAGGGGTGGAACAGAGCTTGGGAAAAATGCATTAATTTACCATGATCATGGCAAGTGTCAATTTTTTATTCAGCTGTATAGAAGTTGCTGCGCTCCTGAACCTGTAGCTAGAGACTAATGTTCTTGAAACCAAGTGAAGAATGGAGAGTGCTTATTGCAACGTGGCAACGCGATTCAGCCAGGGCAGTGCTGCTACTCAAGGAAAGCTGAAACAGGGTAAACAGAGCTACAGTGTGACAACGCACTGGTGGATCAGTCACTGGTCAGGAGGGTCTTGTTCCAAGACAGCACAGGAGAGGGAGAGGGAATTCAATCCTGATGTGTCCAGCAGCCTCAGCTGATCCTGGGAGCGCTGTAGTCGCAGGTCTGTGTTTTCTTCAGAGTTCCTTTCTGAAAGTTCTGAATGGAGCTGAGTAAGGCTCCTCGGCTTGTGCTGACATCAGGCCTTGGGCTTGGCTGCATTGGTACCTCTGTACTCGGAGGAGGAGGAGCTGCTGGTGACAGTGGCGGTGGTGGCGGTGCTGGGGGTATCGATGATGCTCCTGTTGAGGAGAGAAGATGTAGTTTGAGTATGCCAAGGAGGTCCTGCCACAGAGCACTGCAGCTGCTGAGCTGCACTTGGTCAGTCCTGCTCTAGTCACGTCATCCTTTAAATACCAATGGAGTGTGAAGAACAGAACATGAAAAATGCCAAAGTGATCAAATCCCTCTATCTGCGGGTGGGTTATGTAATCTGAGACGCCTCTAAAAGGAAGCCTGAAGAACCTCAGAACTTGGGGATGCAAAACATGACTCAAACATGAGATCACTTAACAGGACTTCTCAGCTTCAGTTTGTCTTGCTTGTCCTCAGTGAAGCAGTTTGATCTTTGGGTCATGAATAGTAACAAAGACTGGAAGTAAATCTCACTCTGCTCTTACTTACATGACTGCTTGGTTGAATTATTTTACAATAATTTTACAATACTAACTGCAGATAGAGTTTTCTGGAAGTGATTTACGCTTCCACAGTACTGACTCTCAAAACATGTTGTAACAAATGCTTGTTTCACAGGCTGAATGAATCACAACTATCTGCCACTCACACCCCTTGCCTGCCTCTGTGTTCCCACAAGTCACCCTTGCTTTCTGAGTCACATCCATCTCATGCTGCTCATCTTGCCCCAGCCTCATATCCCAGCTCCCTGGTGCACACAGGTAGCCAGCCCAGCAGTGAGGGCCTGCATGGAGGTGCTTCTGGCAGGTCAGATCCAGGCAGGTGACCTTATTTGTCCCTGCTCTTGTGCAACTCTGCTGCTACATGTTGCACCATTATTTGTACACATGTATAATCAAAGATCTGGGTAGGACCAAGAACAAAGGGCTTTAGAGGTGACCATGTGCCATTCCACAAGACATCCATGTGAACGTGGCATTTGCAGCCCATCACCCACTCTATGGGGAATGATGGACCTTTCTTGTAATATTCTGGAATGAGTGGGGGCATATGATTAACACCTTTAAATTCACTGTTGAACTAACTGCATCATCTAGATCATCAGTTATTCCATAGTAGGAGACACAAATGTCACCTATAGTCTAACACTCGCTTCTGGTAACTAACCTACAAACAGGAATACACAGCTGACAACAGCTGTGATACTGAAGGACAACAAACAAGAACAACATGAGGCCAACCAAGAGACCAAGAGAGACGTTACTGAAGTACAACTGCTTGCTATGAAGTAAGGAAGTAACAAGCAGTTAACATTATGGCACATGGACTCAAGAGGTATTTGATGAACGATAAAGCTCAGCCACAGAAAATAAAAACAGAGCAAAGTTCTCAATTCCTCACTAACACTTGCTCTCAGACCAACAAGTAATAGGAAAAAAAGTAACTTCTGTAATTAAAAGAAAAAGCATTTATACTAGATGAAAGTCGTAACTCAAAGCTCCCTCAATTTCTGTTTGCACCAGTCTTTGATGAAAGACTTTTCCCATATGGGAGCAAGCTCAAAATGCAAAGTATTAACACAAAGCATCCCATTTTGCCAGTGTACATTGATATATGCTGTGACTGTAGCACTTCCCACTCTTCAGGAGAAATTCTCATTGTCATGAAAACCTCCTGTGACAACACAACATGGAAGTACGTATTGGGTTTGTCTTCACTGTCCTCCTTTCCAGAGGAAATTCTCAAGTCCTAGTAGAGATATCAGAGATCAACTGACACAATTTAACATGCCTGTTGCATGTGGATCAATTGCTTTCTTCAGTAATCAAAACATTACACAATGTTAGTATAGACTGAAATAAATCGTACATTGATGCTCTGGGGCCATCAAACTTACCTAACTCCACTTTTTACACCAGCCAAATACATAGGTCAGTTTATTATTAGAAACACTGGAAAACCATCCTGTAGGTCAGAGTTCTCCTGTTTCTCATGTGTGTAGAGTGTGTCAGCAAAGCACAGCAAAGCAAAATGTGACACTTTGCCAAAGGAAGAACAAGAACAGTTCAACTTAAAGTAGTTAAAGTAGTCAAAGCAGAATGCTGTAGGACTGGCGTTGCAATGCTAGCACCAAACTGATCAGATGAACTGCTGTAAAACAGCCAAGACCAGCTCATCATAGATGAAGCAGCTCCAAATGATGCAAGAACTTCAAAGAACAAAGACAAGATTTCTGGCTGGGATTGCAGGGTGAGGTTGAAGAGGCTATGCAAGTAGCTGGACAAGATACAATAGGGAATGACCCTGAAAAGTGGCTAGGGGTCTGTATGGAACACATTGGTAACAGATGCAGTAAAATACTGTGACAGGGGGATAAAAAAGCCACAAAGTGCTTGGATCACTAAGTATTATTAGGCCAACATTCCATGTGTTACATTCAAATTTTGGTCTGGTTATTTTACAATGAGGATAGAAAAAACAGAAGTAGGGGGAGAGGCCACCTTGCCTGCTGGAAAATGGTTAAATTCCTCATCACACAGTTAAGCTCTTGGGAGACTAATTACAGACAATGATACTCTTACACCTGAGCTACACCTGAGATCTGCCTTAAAACATAAATACACACAGGTTTTAGAATGGTATCTGACTAGCTATGAGCATTACTTATGAGCATTACATATTGAACCTATTAAGAGCATGATTCTGGAAATCTTAAATCCATTCATTTCAGTTAGTCCATCAAAACCAATCTGTCCTTTCCTTCTAGACATGAATGTGGCAAAGGAAATCTTAGTTCTCAGATGAAATTACATTTACAGGTTAAACTGTTCTGCCCAGCAGTGAATATTTTTCTATATACTAGGAAAAAAAAACCTCGTATTTGAGACAAGTGCTCAGTTATCACTACACCTTTCTGATACACGTTGAGAGAAGTTGTCTGCAAACACACATTTTACTCATTCATGCAGTTGTAAGAATAAAACACTCAAACAAGAACTTACCAAAGGTTTTTTACAGGGACATTTTTGTTAAAAGAGTGTGTTAAAAGGAATAGGAAGTAAATCAGATGCTGTAAACTTGATGCCTGAATTGAAAGAAAAACTTAATTATGAATTTAAAGTGACAGTAATTGTGCAAGCAGCATTAAACACTTGACTGAGAATGGGGTGCAAGAAAATCTTTTTAGTGAGAGAGTTTTTAAAGATGCTGTATTTCATTAAAGTAATCCATCAGAATATTTAGATCCTTTTCTTCTAATCCCTCCCAAGTTCAAGTTTTGCATTCAACTTTCCCATACAGAAACAGAGCATCTTTAAAGAGAGAAATCAGCATTAGCTTACTTTTCCGAAAATTCACGTTCAAAATGATGCATGCTCTATTGAAGACAGCAGAAAAAGAGAGAGGACACAAGTTAATCACCTGGTTCCCATGTCAAAGTGAGAAATACAGATACTGACAGCTGCAAAGTTAGTACAAAAAAAAAAGTACGTTCTTATTCATTAACAACTATGATGATTACAGATTGATTACTAAATGGTACATATGCAGTAATGATTCTGAATAACCAACCATAATTTTCCGTGCTGAAAGCTTTGTTATACTTGATGAACAAACACAACACACATGCTTTCAGTTGTACGTGCGGTAATTCGAGCTTTACAGGATTAAAGTGCATTTAAGAGAGATTTAGCAAGAAATCTGCTGGCAGATAAGCCACAGAAGACAAAATCCATTCAGTTCAAGGAACTTCCTGTTGTATTAACACCTGTATTTACACTTATGCTGCATGGGTTACAGACACTCAGGAAGAGCATGTACTAAAGAACTCAAATCGTCTTACGTTAATGTGAAGGGCAGAAAAGATGCACCCTATGGGTGTATATGAATATACATCAGACTGAAGGACTCAGAACAAGTGGCACAGGAAAAAATACCTAAGTACAAGTCTTTCACTTTACTCCCAAAGGGAAGCCCAGGGAAGCAAAAATGGCACCCTCCAAACTTTTCTCTGTTGTAAGAGAGCTCACTGGTCTCTTATGGGCTCATTGGATTTAGAGGAGATGCACTGAAGTTTTAAATAACCCACACCACAGTGCTTTGCATCCCTTCTGATCCCAGCCACAGCTCACAGCCACAACGGAAAATAACCAATTTTCAAGGAAGCAAAGAATTCTGCAAGTGGAGAAAAAAACAATCAACATTCAAGGGAGAA